ATTATTAATTTAAAAAATAATTATATTACCCCTGTGAATGGACGTAATTTGGGGGTTTACCCGGCTACCATAAATGTCAACGAATTTATTAAAATTGCCGAAATGGAATCAACTTTGATAGAAGCTAGAAAGTTTAGAGAAAATGTAATTAAGTTTTAAAAATAAAGGCGATGTAAGATTAAGAAATAATATAGAATTAAGAATAGGATCTATTATTCTCGATTTAAGGCTTTGGCTCTAAAATAAACGGGGTATGGATTCAGGCGGCTTATATAATTCTATTGAATTTTAATGATTTGCAGGATTTTCTATTTCCTCGGAAACATAAGTATCCTAATACATAGATGGCACCCTTATAGAAGCCCACCCCTTATAGAAAGCCCACCCCCCCCTACCAATTATAGAAGTCCATGCTCTTTTAGACAAAGTTCTATAGTTCTATTAGGATACTAAATATTTACATTAATCTATCCTCTAGAAATAATTTTATTTTTAATAAAAATGATTCCTCCCCTTAGATAATGGCAAACACTCTGGAAGGCGGCAAACTTTTCTTCAGTGTTGAACGTTTTGATTACACTAAAGGAATCTATGAAAAATTGGAAGGTTTCAAGAAGTATCTTGAAAGATACCCCGACCGTATCGGCAGAGATGTGTTTTATCAAATAGCTCCCTATAATCGTCGAAATATTGAAAACTACAAGAATTATCAAGTAGAAGATTTAGAAACTTAGTGTTAAACATACATATGTCCAAGAGAAAAATTTTTTTATGAAGGGGGGTTGGAGACTACCGGTCATTTATCTGAAATAGCAAGGGAGATACGAGCCAGGGGAGAGCGCATTGAGTTTTGATCTGATTGAGTTTGCACTTTTTATTCACGTGAAAAGCTATCCTCCCTTCATGCTTTAACTTGCTCAATCTTTAATCTATTAAATTACCATGTGTATGTACTTTTTTCACGCGCAAAGTGCTTGTGGAAATAAACGAGCAAAGACCGAAAAGTGCAATTGACAAGGACTTAAAAAATTCTTTAAATAAAAATATTTAAATTAAATTCTATTGTAGAACAACTCTCTAAAAATCAAAGAAAGAATCAAAGTAGAATTTGGAGAAGGATCTACTAAAAGAAATGATAATATAAAAATACTCGAAGGATATGAACCCTTTATTATCGAATTAGAAGGGGTTCCACGTGAAAAACTGGTTACTAGATATTTGGCTATGGATGTTGGTGTAGTTACACCTGTAATGGATGGAATGAATCTGGTAGCAAAAGAAATGATGGCCGCTAATCCGAGAGCCCCTCTTGTTCTTTCGAAAGGTGCCGGCACTCATCATCAACTTAAAGAGAATGGATTGAGTGGAAACTATTTTTTGGTTGAAGATATTAAAAATTCTGAACATTTTGCCAATGTTTTGCATGATTCTACAGTATTGTCTGAAGAAAGGCAAAAAATACGGGGAGAAAAACTTAGAGAATACCTCAAAAAACACAGTGTTGATAAGTAAGTCCTTTATATTGTAGATAAGAGTTCTGGCAATTAGTAGATTAGAGATCAGACAATGGGTAGATAAGAGATCTGGCAATTAGTAGATTAGAGATCAGACAATAGGTAGATAAGAGTTCTGGCAATTAGTAGATTAGAGATCAGACAATAGGTAGATAAGAGTTCTGGCAATTAGTAGATTAGAGATCAGACAATAGATAGATAGGAGTTCTGGCAATTTGTAGATTAGAGATCAGACAATGGGTAGATCATTGATCCTTTTTTAAGATAATTCTACTATTAAATATCCCATCCCATGGATTTTCCAAGGAATGAACAATCTAAATCGGTATCAGAAAATCGGGATTGAAATAAGGACCTTAACCGATTTTAAAATCGAAATTAATGCTATTATAAATTTATTTACTTTATTTACAGATGGAGTGAAGAGTTTTTGGATGAATGAACAATCTTGGAAGCAGCTATTGAAGATATATTTTTTGTGTTTTTCATTAACTTTTTAGGGTTAGAATGGCATTTATTAGATCTATCTAGTTGTACATATGCTTTTTTGTTAGGGTATTTAAGTTTGAGCTTGTAATATTTTTTTAATTAATATTTTATTAAAAATATATATATAAAGAATAGAAATTTAATCTCTCTTCTAAGACCAAGTTTCGCCTTCAAATTGATATTAAAATAAGTTTTGTTAATAACACTTACAGTTCTGTATATCAGAGCTGGGCGAAATCTAAAAATAAAAAGCGAAATACGAAACTTTTTTCAAAAAAATAAAAACGAAATGCGAAACTTTTCACGCTAAAAAATGCGAAAAAGCGAAACGCGCAATGCGAAATAAGCCAGCCCTGGTGTATATCCATTTAAAAATAGGCATCTTACACAAAATTATTTTATTCGAAATATTTAATTACACAATTTAACGATTTATTTATAAGTTGTTTCTATGCTGACACACCATTTATAGCTTAATGTTTGGGCTTTTCAATGATTAAATCAAGTTATGTACATACTGCATAAATTTCCGTATTATTCATTTCAGTGAAGTTCAATAATGGAACCTGGCTTATAGCCATGAAAGAGACTTGTTTGGGCTACAAAATGAGTGGAAAATCAACAAAAAAATATTAATAATATAAAAAGTTACGATGAAATGAAAAGTGCCCGCTTAATTTTTTTGTCACCCTATAAACAAAATTCTATTTTGCATTTATTTTTTATTTATTAATTTAAAATTCAATATATTTTTTGCCGCCTTTTAAAAAATATTTTTTGCAAGGGCTTCCTCGCCCTCTACATGCTTTCCCTCTATATGCTTGCCCTCTACATGCTTGTAGAGGGCCTCTACATGCTCGTGAGGTGAAATTAAAAAATAAATTCACGTGTAAATCCTTTAAAAATGCTTAATGTTTATCCACTAATTTTAATAATAAATAAAAAAGAGGGAAAGGTTTTTCACATGTTAATAATTAATAAAAATAAAAATAGGGAATCAAACATTAAACTTGATCAAATGCCAAAAAACTTTAAAAATAAATATATTAATCAAGAAATTTCTTTTAAAGATTTTTTTAAAAAATATTTTTTATTTGAAATGTTTAAGTTAAATTTTTTTTTATTTTTTCCTATTTCCCGAAAGCAATTTTAATTAATAAAAATTTAATAAAAAAATTTTTTGCAAACTTTTTTTATTAATTATTCATAAAAAGACGATGCTTACAAAGAAAAAGCTTATAAGAATTTAAATTTAAAAATAAAGTAAAATATCTTTTTAAATTGCAAGAAAAATCAGAGGGCGTTAAACACAATGTGCGCAATTTCAAAGTAAAATCGCCAAAATGTAAAGCATATTTTTACTTATAATTCCTAAGGCTGTGCTGTAGGCGGCGTGGTGTAATGGCTAACACATCAGTCCGGTCTACTGAAGATGCTGGTTTGCACCCAGCCGCGGATTAACCTTTTGCACTAGCTAAAGGAGAGAAATAGCTATGCCCAGCTGCTTTACTGAATTAATTAAACAAAACCGTATGGGCCAGTAGCTAGAAATTTGAAAAATAAATTGAATAGCCCTCCGGAAATTTAAAAATTAAATTTTAAATTAAATTTCCATTTATTTTAATTAAATTTTTTAAATAAAAAATTTTTTTTATTTTCCAATCAATTATTCAGACAAAAAAAAATTTTACATTTTGCTTGACAATAAAAAAATATTTACAATGGAAGTGGAGGAAGGGGGGATGTGGAGTGAGAGGGAGAGGTGGAGTAAGAGGGAGAGGGGTTAAGGAGGGGGAAGGAAGAGGGAAGGAAGGAGGAGGGAGTGAAAAATATTTTTTAAAAATCGAAGAGGCACTCTGAATTTTTTAAAAAATTAAAAAAAAATTTTTATTATTTAATATTTGCTTTAAAAATATTTAAATTTTCTTGCAAAACTTTTTGACCTTTTAATTAAAAATCATATTAATTATATATATCAGACCTCACTAAGAAATTTTTCCATAATTAGATAATACTCAGCTAAGTATGTATTATTTTTAAAAGTTAAGCACCCGATGGGGGAGTTGTTTTTCGGTCGGAGCTTGGAGTAGAACTTGAAAAATAAATATCACAGCCGCAAGAAATTTAAAAATTAAAAATTAATTTTTAATTTCCATTTATTTTAATTGATTTTTAAATTTAATTTTTAATTGTCAATCAATTATTTTGTAAATATATACACAAAAAATTAAAAATTTTAAAGACAATAGAATATATTTAATAAGGAAGTAGCAGGGAGGAAGAGAGAGGCTTCCGCCCATTCGCAAACCTCCCCCTCCCACTCCCTCCGATAAATTTCCGCCCATCCTCACAAACTTTCTCACTCCCGTCCACCTCCTCTCATCTTCCTCCTCCCCCCTCCCACTCCCTTCGAGAAGCTTCCGCCCATCCTCACAAACTCTCTCACTCCCGTCCACCTCCTCTCATCTTCCTCCTCCCCCCTCCCACTCCCTTCGAGAAGCTTCCGCCCATCCTCACAAACTCTCTCACTCCCGTCCACCTCCTCTCATCTCCCTCCCTCCCCCTCCACCTCCCTCCGAGAAGTTTCCGCCCATCCTCACAAACTCTCTCACTCCCGTCCACCTCCTCTCATCTCCCTCCTTCCCCCTCCCTCCGAATTTCCGTCCATCCTCACAAACTCTCTCACTCCCGTCCAACTCCTCTCATCTCCTCCCCTCCCCTCCCACTCCCTCCGAGAAGCTTCCGCCCATCCGCAAACTCTCTCACTCCCGTTCACCTCCTTCCCCTTCCCCTCCCACTCCCTTCGAGAAGCTTCCGCCCATCCTCAAAAACTCTCTCACTCCCGTCCACCTCCTCTCATCTCCTCCCGTCCCCTCCCACTCCCTCCGAGAAGTTTCCGCCCATCCTCACAAACTCTCTCACTCCCGTCCACCTCCTCTCATCTCCCTCCCCTTCCCCTCCCACTCCCTTTGAGAAGCTTCCGCCCATCCTCACAAACTCTCTCACTCCCGTCCATCTCCTCTCATCTCCCTCCTCCTCCCCTCCTACTCCCTTCGAGAAGCTTCCGCCCATCCTCACAAACTCTCTCACTCCCGTTCACCTCCTTTCATCTCCTCCTCCCCCCTCCCACTCCCTTCGAGAAGCTTCCGCCCATCCTCACAAACTCTCTCACTCCCGTCCACCTCCTCTCATCTCCCCCTCCCCCCTCCCACTCCCTTCGAGAAGCTTCCGCCCATCCTCACAAACTCTCTCACTCCCGTCCACCTCCTCTCATCTCCCTCCCTCCCCCTCCACCTCCCTTCGAGAAGCTTCCGCCCATCCTCACAAACTCTCTCACTCCCGTCCACCTCCTCTCATCTCCCTTCCTCCCCCTCCTACTCACTTTTCATAGTTCATATAAAGGAAATAGCTAAGCATTTCTAAGCATTATTCTTCAAATATCTTCTTTATTAAAAATTAAATAAATTTTTTTAATTAAATAATTCTCAAATTAAAGTTTTTTTCTCAATTAAAAATTAGCTTTTAAAATTTAGAAAAAGCTAAAAATTAAAATTTTATTTTCAGTTAAATGAAATTTTCCAATCATCTTCCCCCCAAAATTTTAATTCTTTTGTTTTTAATTTTTCCTTTTGTAATTGGAGGAAAAGAACGAGGAAGCCCTCGTTCTGTTCTCGGTGAGTTAATCTTTAAGAGAAAATTTTTTGGCTAGCTACCCTAATATTTTTTATTTACACATTCGGAAGCTAAAAGAGAAGCCCTTTGATTGAAAAGATTTCAGCTTATAATGAGTGTATCTTAAATAAGGGTATCACTTAGAGGGTGTATGGAAGTAGAAGGGAGGAAGAGAGAGCACAGTGACCAGCTAAATTAAAAACAATCCTTTAACAGACATTTTTTTACAAATTTTTAACAGAAAGGAAAGCCTTAGCTACCAAATATGTAAGAATCATTTTGGCATCAAACGCGCCACCCTTCCATTTGGAAAAGTTAGAAAAGGATTATCCAATACAAAAGACTCAGAAAGGTCAGGATGACCACATTTCGACAGGGCTATTAAATCATGGCTCTCATTCGAATCGAAAGCGACAACGCCAATCAGAACCTGATGAAAATATTAAAAAACCAAAAGCTTCTGTTGATAATGAACAATGGATAATTAAATCTGTATGTTTAAATTGGGGGGTTTATTTCGAATTAATTCTTTAATTAAAAAAAGGCTTCTGGTGGATTGGTTACGGCAGTTGAACCAGTAATAAAAGCAAATAAAGAAAATGTTTGGGTCTTCCATGTGACACGTAAATATTTACTTAAAAATTATAAAATTCCAAGTAAAAATATGGGTAATAGTTTGGTTCCGACACTATTTTTTCCTGATTTCATTTGCAGCATCATTTCTCTTTTTCATTTATTACTTGAATCAACAAAGTTATGAACATTTGTTTTAATCACTTGAAGAGTCGGAAGTTTTTCCAATGAGGATTAGGTTTCCAGAATCACCGAAACCAATTTTGGTATCATTTGCCTAGCTTAAATAAACATGAAAGTGGGGTGGGAGGAGTTAAACCAAACTATTACTGCAACAATACATAATTAGCTTCCATTAACTGATGGAGGATTTTGATATATCGTTTTGAATTACTATTACTAAAATAGATAATTAAAAAATACTTAGAAAAAGTTGGTGATACTTTGGCATATTTAATATTATAATTTAATTATTTAGCTAGTGATCCTGAATACATATCTACTCCAGAAAAAGACCCAAAATTTATGTCTATTGAAGCGTACAAGAATTCAGAAAAATCAACCTTTGGGTTATCTCCGGTAATTTAAAAAAAATTACAGTATTCTTAAAATAATTTCCGAAATATTTAATGAATTTTTTATGAAATCCTGCGAAAAAATTCAATGTTAAAATAAAATTATAATTCTAAAGGTTCTGATTGATATTGAGAATTTTGATAAATTCTACAAAGGAATGAGCAATAACATTTTATGGCCAGCATTTCACAATATACTTCATAAAATTGTTGTTAACATTAAAGATTATAATACAAATCTTGAAGGTATGTAAGGATCATTTGAAAGGATTAAAAATAGTTAAAGATTTGACTAAGGCAAATGGTAGGGGGTGGCTAACACATACAGAGCGAAGGAGTTTAGCAAAAGTTTAGAAACAGGGCAGGATTCGAACCTGCAACCTCCTTGCAGTTATTGCTAGGCGCTTTCGCTCACCGCTTATAGGTTACAGATATAGCTGATAGCTCACTGAGTAGCTCACTTATAGCTTACTTATACTTATACTCACTTATAGCTCACTCACTCACTTATATCTCACTCACTCACTTATAGCTCACTGAGCTACCGGAGCATCGACTAATGCTTTCTCTTTTATTATTTTAGATCGTTTAACCCCCGTTTAACCCCGTTTTAAATGCTGCTAGGTGAATCATCCTTACAAGAGTGATAAATCTCAGGTCTACTTCTAGCTCCGGATTAGCCTATTGTTCTAATACGTTTATAAAAACGGATAAAATTGCTATATTTTTTAGAGTATAGAAAAGTGAATAAACAATTTGCGAAAACAATTCTTGAAACGAAGCCAACAGAAAATGATTTTATCTGGATTCAAGATTATCATTTATTGTTTGTTGGGGAGTATTTAAGAGAAATTGAAGTTGAGAATGCTAAAAAATCTCTGGAGCGAACTAAGAAGCATTTGATTAATGATAAGAAAGCTTTGGTGAATGCTAAGGAACCTTTGAAATTGGGATTCTTTTTGCATACACCTTTTGAATTAACTAAAGATTTTGTTTTAAACTTCAAAAATTTTGAAGGGGAATTCGAAAGTTTGACTAAAGAAATCATAAAAGGAATGCTACGTTTCGATAAAGTTGGGTTCCAAACAAAAAAGGATCGCGATATTTTTGTCTACTGGGCAGAGGTTATTGAAAAAATTTTAGATAGTGATTAAGTTTTTTTTATTTTTAGTATTTTTATATGGAAAATGTACAAAAAACTGTACAAAAAACAGAGGAAAATACAATTATTAATTTAAAAATTGAAAATATTACACCGAAAAATGGATGTAATTTGGGTGTTTACCCAGCTACAATTAAAATTGATGATTTTACTAGTATTGCCGAAAATGATGAAATTATTAAGGAAGCTAAAAAATTGCATGACGGAGTAAATATCATTTAAAATAATTAATAAAAATTTTGTTCACCTTCAACAATATCCTAGAAATATTTTAAGAGATCCATGGAAAATCTATTTGAAATCCATGAAAAACGGAGGAAACCTCCGTAGGATAAATCGAGTGAGCTCCCGCTCCCCGCTGAGACATCATGTTATTCGTATTCTCTCCTTCTCTTTGCCTCACGTAAATTATTGAGAAGGGGATTAGTTAAGAGGTGTTTCAATCACTTATTTCTTCTTCATCCATTTGAATAGCCTGATGCCAGATCAAGCAGTCTTGTTTTCCTTTAAACCTCGTTGATTTATAGAACTAACTTGTAACTTTCTAAAAATATTACAGAAAATGGCAAACACTTTGGGAGGAGGCAAACTTTTCTTTGGCGTTGAACGTTTTGATTATACCAAAGGAATAAAGGAAAAACTTTTTGCCTTTGAAAAATACCTCGACAAACATCCTGATCGGATTGGAAGAGATGTGTTTTATCAAATAGCACAAAACAATCGAAGTGGAATTGGATCTTTTAAAGAATATCAGGTGAGCTTTTTTCCTACAAAAAATCGCTTTAACCCTTAATCAAAATTCGAGATCTCTCCTTTCGAACTCGATAGATAAAATTTTTGGACAGAAGATCAAAAATAATAAACATTTAACAATAATGCTTAACTTAATTCACACGGCTGGGCAATATCATCCAATATACCTAAACCTGGTATTAAAATGAAGAGTAGATTCAGATCTTTATGTTGGTTAATAAGAAAAAAGAATATTTGTTAAAATAACACCTCATAAAATTTAACCGAAAAAAAGCGACACTAATTATGACCCGACCTAATAGCTGAGGGCTACAACACTTAAACCACTATCTATTGTCAGATAGAAAAAGGATCCTTAGTGTTAATGTTAATAACAGATTTTAAACCGGAAGATGCAAGTTGAGGGAGCGGCATCCTTTAATGACCCACCTTAGCCTTTACATCGAAATACAAACAGAATTTTGTTTAAAATCATTTTAAAAATTCAATTAAATTTTTTCAAAAATAGGATGAAATCAAAGAAATACCTGATAAAATCAACAAAAAATTTCAAAAAATAATGGAAGATAAATACGGAAAAGAAACAGATTATAAAGCAATAATTTTTGAAACTGCGGGAGTAAAACGAGAAGAGTTAATTAAACGCTATTTGGCTATGGATATTGGTGTGGTTACACCTGCAATGGATGGAATGAACTTGGTTCGAGAGGATTTTTTTAATTAAAAATTATTTTTCTAAATATTAGGTAGCCAAAGAAATGATTGTTTGCAATCCAAATGCTTCCCTAATTCTTTCCGAAGGAGCTGGGACACATCACCAATTTTTAGAAAATAAATTGGCAGACAATTACCATTTGGTATGTTGATTATATCATAATAACTAGAAGTAAAGCAGCTGGGCTATAGCTACATATTTCTCTCCTTTAGCTAGAGCAAAAGGTTATTCGGCGGCTGAGAGCGAACCAGCATCTTCAGTAGACCGGACTGATGTGTTAGCCATTACACCACGCCGCCTACTGCTCAGCCTTAGGAAATTAAATAGCTATATGCTTTACATAAACACAGGATTTGAGGACAGGACCATTTTTACTTTACTATTGTCCGACTCGCTATATGTATAAATTTAATTTAAATTTAAATAGGTTCAAGATATAACTAAGGTTGAAGCATTCGCTCAAGTAATGCATGAAGCTGTTACTCAACCAAAAAAAGTTGCTGAACTTAGCGAATACCTCAAAAAGAACGGCGTTGAAAAGTAAGTTAATTAACTAGGGATAAATGAGAAAAATTTAAAATTTTTTAAATTTAAAGATGGAGCAATGAATTTTTGTATGGGAAAAAGTAAAGAAAAATTCTTATTAAAAATTAAAAATTATGATGGAAATATTCAAATTTCATTAAAAAAAAATTTTTTATTTTTAAAGTAAACTGCTATTTATTTTTATTTATATGGGTCGGATTTTTAGGTTACAATCTATTTTTACTAAAAAAAGTTAAATTGATATAAGCTCAGCTCCATTGTTATTCTAATTCTTATGTTTACAAAGACTTGATATCGCCTATTGAGAACAATTTTGGGGGGTTATAGAACCAATTATAGATTGTAACCTGTTTATGATGTTCTTGTGTTTTTATTGCGTTTTGTAACTTTTTTCGGAAATCTTTCGTAAAAAAACGATTTTTATTTTAAATTATTATCAATTTTATTAAAAAAACTTTAATTTTCAAAAATTTTATCAATTTTTCTTATAAACTAGAAAAAACTTTTTATTATTGTAAAAATATCTATTCAAAAATTAGAGATTTTTCTGTCGTAAGACTATCTTTTGAAATGCCAATATCCAGTCGATTGAACCTCTAATAGTTTATAACTTTCAACAGATTCACCATTTAAGTTCAACAATTAATAAAATATCGGTGGAATATCGGAGTTTACGGAGATATTGTTCAATGCTGGAGATATCGTTCAAATTATATTAAAATGAGTATTTGTTGGGATAAAAAATTTCAATTTTAAAATCCCAGTTCTTAAGGGACAAGATCTCAAATTTAAAAAATGACACCTTGCATTAATGGTTTGAAGGATAACTGAAAAATAAAATTCATAAATTAATGAATTAATTAAATTCGAACTTATAAAGTTTCGAATTTATAGTTACTAAAGAATATATGTATATACATAGATCAAATTTAAATTTTATTATAGCTCATTGTCTAGGCAAAAAATATATTAAACTTATTAAACTTCAATAAATTTTTTTCTTTTTTAGAAAATAATTTTTTGCAAGGGTTACCTGCCCTCTACTTATTTGCTTGAGCGGTAAAATTAAGGTTGGGAAGTGAAAAAGATTCACGTGAAAATCTATTAAAAAATGCTTAATGTTTATCCACCAATTTTTTACTAATAAACAAAAAATTGGGAAAGCATTTTCACATGTTAATAATTAATAAGAATAAAAATAGTGAATCAAAAACGAAGCTTGATCAAATGCCAAAAAAGTTTAAAAATAATCAAATAGTTTTTTTAATTATTAATTTTCTATCGTTTAAACAGAATTTATTTTAATTAAGTTAACTCTTATTTATTTTAAAATATTTTTTTATAAATTGTTAAATTAAAAAAATTTTTTTTAATATTTTATTTTATTTACCGGAAGTAGTTTGATTAATAAAAATAATTAGTAAAAATTTTGCAAATTTTTATGAAAATAAATTTTGCAAGAAATAAATTTATAAAAAATAAATTATTTTTAATAATTTATTATTATTTTTTTATTAATTATATTTATAAAAATAGCTTTGCTATATCAGTCATCCCTCTGGGTAACTGTCAGTGAAGAATGGAACTGAAAGATGGAACCTAATGAAACCGCCAGGTCTTGGAGTAGAGTTACCTCTACATGTTATTTACTATCCTTATTAGGCTTGCCAAAATGGACCGATACGGACCAAAAGATCTAGTCGGGCCTAGATGTTTGGCCCGAAAATGACTCGTCCGGCCCTACTCGATGCCTCGACCATTGGCCTGACTCGAAAATGGCAAATCTAATCCTCATACCGCATTATGTCTCAATACTGCAATAGTATTATATAAAAATATTTTGACATCTAAACTCTTGGAATTATAGATAAAATTTAAAACTTTGGGGTGTGTTTTTAATTAATTAACACAATCTATATTACTCAATTATAAAATTTTTAATTATTAATCAATTTAATTAATTAAAATTTTATTTTTGCGTTTTTAAATTTGCGCACAATTAATTTACAACAATGGTTGAATACAAAATCAACTTCCTATTTGTCCTTACCTAAGGGACTTCCGGCGTCTTCCGGCCTCATCTCTCTCACCATCACTACTCTCACTCCCACCCTCCCTTCCCTTCCCTTCTCCTTCCCTTCCCATCCCCTTTTCCCCTTCCCATCACTACTCTCACTCCCTCCCTCCCTCCTCCTCCACCCAAATTCCCCCACACCTCCCACATAGCTCCCTATTCCACAACCCTCTTTCTATCCTCCCTCCTACTCCTTATTTGTAGGTAATATAAAATAAATTATTGAGCTATTTTAAGCATTATTTTAATTAAATTTATATTTTATTAAAAATGAATAAATTTTTTAAATTAAATAATTGTCAAATTAAAGTTTTTCTTCAATTAAAAAATCCTTTAAAATAAGCTAAAAATTAAAATTATATTTGAAGTTAGATTAAAACTTTTAATCCCCTTCCTCAATAATTAGGAGTGTAGATTTGGGAGAGTGCAGTTAAGGAAGAGGCATTTTTTAAATAAAGATCTCTCATTTTATTATCACATGCTGCGCAAGAGAATGTCCGATGTTTAAGCTCTTAACACTCTTTCGGCAAATAATAAAGGATGGATCTGTAAAAAATTTTATAAACAAATTTAGGGGAAAATTTTTAAAGGAAAATATTGAATTTCATTTTTTAGTGTATCGGAAATCCAATTTGCAGCTTTTAAGAAGTTCCTGTCCATGATTCCGATACAGGAACTTACAGATAGCAGAATGGCCGGAATTCAGCATTACGACCCCTTTGGCATGTGCTTTATTCTATCTAAATTTCCACATCTATGTATGTGTAAATTTGTTCTTAATTTTGTCCAAACAAATCTCAGAAAGCAATAATTTTTATCTTCTTTTTTTATCCTCTCATGAGCATATCCTGTAATCTTTTTGCATTTTTAAACAAAAATATGGAAAAAATTATTTTTAATAAATTATTTTTAATTATAACTTTTCTAAGTGTAGGATCTTGTAGGATTAGTAGCTACCGCATAATTGCTTTCACGGAATTTGGAGTCCGTAAAGTTTGGAGTACCCCCGATCACTCCAGCTCAGCAATTTATTTCCGTCTCAACTATTAACTTCCGTATTAGCATGGCTTCCGTTTTAATTATTGTATAATTCTAAATCCTTATCCTGATTTTACAAATAAAAGTCGATAAAATTGAAAAAAAATTCCCCCTGCCATTAAACCCTGCCATTCTCCATTCTCCCCCTGCCATTCTCACTATCCTCCTTATAATACATAGTAGTCGATTTTAGACAAGGAGGAGGCCCTTCCCCCATTTCAATTTTTTATTTTTAAATTTTTATAAAATATTTATTAAATAAAATTTATTATTCTGAACTTTTAAAAATTCATTCAAAATTGTTTATGAAGCGTAAACTTTAAATATTTAAATTATTCAAAAAATGCCTTCTTTGAAGAATCCTCCTTATTTACTTTAGGTTCTAATATTTTTTAATGTTATTTGCATAACAGAAACAATGTATTCTGATTATACAAATGAAGCAAGCACTTCACGTAACAAATTTTTAAAGCTATAATCATTCATTAAAATGATAAGCTTAAATAGGATCCTTAAATTATAAATGGATACATCGTTGGATACATCTTTTTCTCAGTAGGAACATCCGTACCAAGAAAAGGATGTTCATGATTTAGACCACTCCTTGGATACGGGCTACAACAAGGCTTTTATTAATTCTTTGGACCTCCCTCGATAGGCTATCAAAGCTTTTATCCTACATAATTCTTGACTATATTCTGAGATGGGTGGCATTTATTCTGGAATGGAAGGACTTTCAGCCACTTACCCAGAAAAATTTTTTCCTAAACTTGTGTTAGGATAGTTTTGTATTGGCACAGTGTTTGACTTATATTCAAAAATAGTTTTTAATTAAAAATAGTTACGAAGACTATAATGAATTTTCAGGATCTGGATATTACCCAGGAGAAGAATACGAGTATGATGAAGGAGAGGGATACGAGGGTGATGAAGGAGAGGAATACCAGTGTGGTGAAGGAGATGAATACCAGCGTGGTGAAGGAGATGAAGGAGAGGAATACCAGCATCAAGAAATTTCAGTAAAAAGGAGGATAATTTTGGCATCAAATGCCCCTCCATTTCATTTAGAAGAGTATAAGCCTACTCTCTATAAAAAGGAAAAGCAGAAAAAGAAACCCTTTTTTAGCAGAATTTTTAGGGGTTGCAAGAATGTAGATATTAAAACCCCTGAAGAGCCAATTAAACAAGGATGGCATATTGAGCAGGTATTTTATTATAGATAAGGATTCTATAAATTTAGAAAAAGACTTAAAAACGAGACAAATTTTCACGTAAAAATTTTAATAAAACTTTTATTTAATTGACAGAATATGCTCAAATAATTACTTTCTCTCTCTCAAATAGTTGCCCCTCTCAGATTAAATTAAGGCTGGTTCAACTAACAGTATTTAAAATGCTTAAGCGGGGGATCTATAAGGAGAGCCATACTGAACTTTCAAATTTCAAAACTCGAATAAATCTCTCACTCGAGAATAAATCCTTCCCTCGATAATTACCCATGATAATTATTTGAACATATGAATGATTTTATAATAATTTAATATTTAATTTAAATCAAAATAAGGCTTCTGGAGGTCTTGTTTCAGCTGTTATGCCAGTAATGGAATCTGACAAAAAAAATGTTTGGGTCTTTCATGTTACACGTAATTAAGTATTTTTTAACATGTTAACTCAGGCTGAACTCTATAAGACAATAAAATACTTCAAATTGAAATAAGTTCTTTAAAAATTTGATTGGTCAATGAGGGATAGTGTTGTGCCGGAAGTTCCTGTTCTTTTGCCGGGATTTTTTAGTTCCGGTTCCGGTACTTTTTAACCCCGGTTCCTGGTTCCGGTACTTTTTAACACCCCTAAGGGTAATTTTCCGTTATGCCCCCTCCCCCTAAATTAATGCTAAAAATGTCATATATAGGGTAATAGAAGGTGCTGAATCGACCAGTACCGCTCTTTTTTCCAGAGATCTCTGTGGACTGAGATAAGATAGTGAACCCTATTTCAATACAAAAAAAATTGAGAAACCATAATTCTAACAGATAATAAACATAATATTTAAGCTAGCGACTCTTTGGTACAACCAGACCCAAAGCTTGAAGCAATCAAAAATTATAGACCTAGATCACGTTTTGGTTTAAAAACAGTAATTATTTAATAATTATATAAAATATTTAAATAAAATTTTAAAGGTTTTGATTGATTTGCCTAAATTTACTAATTATTACCAAGAAATTAGCAATAGTATTTTATGGCCAGCGCTTCATAGTATTTATAAAAATGTTTTGATTAATGACGACCTTGCTGAATGTCTCAACGGTATAATAGATATACATACTTTAAAACCTATGATAATCTTGATCTCGATAAGATCTCGATAAGAGTAGAGGTTGAGAGATCATGACTCTATTAATAAAGTAAAGCAGCTGGGCTATATCTATTGTTAATCGACGGCTGGGTCCGAATCAGCATCTTCAGTAGACCGGACTCATGAGTTATCCATTACATCACGCCGCCTACTGGATAGCCTTAGGAATTAAATGAAAAAAAAAATATGCTTTAAAGTGTAGTAACATGACGAGACTCTCGGTCAGCATTTTTGAGCTGTCAGTCAATCTGTCAATAAATGAAAATAATAATTAATTTGTTGCCTATCTATCTCAATAATCAGCTATCTAAACAAGCATACAAGTAAATATTTTTATTATTACAGATTATAGAAAAGTAAATATAATGTTTGCCCGAAAAATTTATAAACTAAACAGAACGGAAAATGATTTTATTTGGATACATGACTATCATTTATTATTTGTTGGAAGGTATTTACGAAAGATGGAAAATGAGGAACAGGATAATGTGAAACCTATGAAATTAGGCTTCTTTTTACATACACCTTTTGAATTCCCAGAAAATTTGGCAAAAAAATTGACAGAAAAAGTGATAAAAAAAGTGCCAGAAGAAGTAGCAGAAGTATCAGAAGAATTGGAAGAAGAAGTTTCAGAAAAGATAGAAGAATTGCCCGTAAAATTGTCAGAAGAAGTTAAAGCTAATTTAGAAAAATTGACTAAAGAAATAATTATTGGAATCCTAAGTTTTGACAAAGTTGGATTTCAAACAAATAAAGATCGCTATAATTTTATAGAACTTGCACAAACGGTATATTTAATATTCTACTACCAATTTAATATTCTACTTTTACTTAGCAAAATTGTGCCGTACTAAGGTGTCGTATTCAGAATTTCTAACCCACATATGATACCCACAATATTTTTTGTTAATTAAATCAACCACTCAGATTGCCTAAAATATAGTTCTTGGGGTAAAGTTAGTTAGTCAACCCTCATTCTTTAGCAAAGCACCTGAAGTCCCACACAGCCCACGGACACCTCACAGCCTCTCCTTTGTAAGGATAAATCCAGGTGTGTTTAAATTCCTCTATACATAGTATTTATTTTTATTTTAGCGTTTCGAAATTCAAATTAACCCAATATACAATGACAATATTTTCAATATTTTTGCTCAAGGAATTACTCCAATTAATGGATGTAATTTAGGTGTTTATCCTGCAAGTATTCAAACAAATTATTTTCATAATCTTGTTAATCAGGAAAGTATTAAAGTGAAAGCGAAAGTTTTTAAAGAAGATGTAAATTATTAACTAAATTTAAAAAAATCACAAAAATCCCTCTGATATCATCACTAATAAGGGCTCGGAAAGAGACTGAGGACTAAGAATTAGGGTTGCCAAAATGGACCGACTCGGACCGAAAGATCGAGTCATGCCTCGATGTTTGGCCCGAAAAAGTCTCGTACCGGCCCGACTCGATAAAGTTTGGCCCGAAAAAGACTCGTAACGGCCCGACTCGATAAAGTTAGGCCCGAAAGTGACTCGTACCGGCCCGACTCGATAAAAACAGGCCCGAAAAAAATTGTCTCGGAAAAAGTCGGCCCGACTCGAACAAGACTCGATAATATTTTTACAAGATTTGTGGACAAAAATATGAGAAATCTGGCTCCTTGGCCTTCCAAAATTCGAAAAATTTTCGCCTGCGGCGGTGAAAAAGGAAGAAATTTGGTCCTTAGCCTTCCGAATATCTCAAAATTTTTGCCTGCGGCGCTGAAATGAAAAATTTTTAGCTCCATACTTTGCTTCACATCTCGAACTTACTGGCTTTAATCGATAAGCTGGATTACTGGGATTTATAGGATATATTCCGCGGGATCCCATCATCATTTGAACTTTTTAAACTCAATCAGTCCTTTTTTTTAAACTCAATCAGTCCAGGGGTCCAAAATTCTCAAAATTTTCGCCTGCGGCGCTAAAAATAGAAGAAATCTGGTTTCCTGACTTTCCAGTAAGCCCTTATCTAAATACGAATAGACCAATCATGGTACACTGGGATTTTATCAAGGGATTTGGTGATTAACGCACAATATGATTAACGCGATCCTGATCCCCTTAATCATCTGATCTCCTTTAATAAAACCAAACTAGCAATATCTCACACCAATCCTCCGATAATTTAAATCACCTTAATCCCTCAAATCCACTGATATCCATTTCAATTCTCTTCAGCCCTTCCTTTACCCTCCAGATCCATCGATATACCTTTTAATTCACAGATATCCCTCCAAATCCACTAATTATTTTTAAATAAATCTTTTAAAAAAAGACTCGAAAATGTCTCGATGCCCGACTCGATAAAGTCAGGCCCGAAAGTGACTCGTACCGGCCCGACTCGATAAAGTTAGGCCCGAAAAAGACTCGTATCGGCCCGACTCGATAAAAACAGGCCCGAAAAAGACTCGTACCGGCCCGACTCGATAAAAACAAGCCCGAAAAAAAATGCCTCGACCGTCGGCCCGACTCGAAAACGGCAACCCTACTAAGAATAAACTAAGATTTCAGTTCTTATATTTTTTAAAGATAACGGGAGCAGGCAAACGTACCGCACTTCGTTCAAAATAGTCGAATCCGGGACGCCTTGGTATGGTTCGATGCATCTCAACGAGCTGAATCAAACTATGCTTAGGGCCTCTCAGATTCGACAAGTTTGGACAAAATTATAGCTCTGCGGTACGTTGGCCTTGCGTTTTGGTACCAAGCCTAGCGATTGGTGTGTACCCAAAGATAATATTGTTCTACTATGGGATCTCTTCAAAGAAGGAGCTCAGTCGGATTTCATAAAAATGAAATGCGCAAGAGGGAAAGAAGGTCTATCCCTTAAGATAAAGTCATATCTAACAACTGTCTCTACTCAAAATATTTTAAATTTTAAAATTCAGACAATGAAAAAATCCTTAGAAGGGGGTAAACTTTTCTTTAGTGTTGAACGTTTTGATTACACTAAAGGAATTTTGGAGAAATTAGAAGCCTACGAAAGATATCTTAAAAACCATCCCGATAGAATTGGTAAAGATGTGTTTTATCAATTGGCTCCATTAAACCGTCAAAAAATACATACCTACAGCAGGTATCAGGTAGAAACTTGAATTTTTTGATCTAAAATTTATTTAAAATTAGAATGATTGTAGAGGTCTAGTATGGAAAATTAATAAAAAATACGGAGAAGATTATGAAAGGGAAGACGGGCAGATAATTAAGAAAGGATATGTGCCAGTTGATATCCGCACGGACGGTATGAAACGAGAAGAATTAGTTTTGCGTTATATGGCTATGGATATTGGGATTGTTACACCTGTAAAGGATGGAATGAATTTGGTTTGGGATTTTTTGAAAATTGAAAAAAAATATTTTTTAAATAAAGGTAGCTAAAGAAATGATTTTAAGTAATCCAAAAGCTGCTCTTATCCTTTCTGAAGGTGCAGGAACTCATCATCAATTTTCAGAAAATAGATTGGGTGGAGAATATCATTTGGTAATCACATTATTTAAACAAATTTAAAGTAAACACCAATTGGTAAAGTTTGGTTCAGACCCCCCCCCCCCTCCCCTCTTTCGTGTTTCCCTGACCATTTTAAACTTTTTGCTTGTAGTATTTGCTTGTAGTACCCACAATTAGTATCTAATCACGGAGGGAATACACGAAAAGTGGGATAGTGTAGTGAGGTGTTACGCATATGCTCGAATAATTACCTTCTCTTAAATAATTAACCCCTCTATCGAGAGGTCTAAGCAGTAATTATAAAGGATAATTATTTGAGCATATACATACATATATCGGTTAGTTAGTTATGGCCATATATGGGTCGTATATCATTCTGAAGGTTAAAGTCGCTTTATAAAAATTTTATCATAACAAAATTTAAATGATAAACTTTTCTAACAGAAACTGGCTGGTTAGTACGACAGAATTGGGCTGGTTTAGTACGAATTTTAATTACATGGAAAAATCATATAACGTGTTTGCGTATGTCTCGGGAATGTATGGATGAAAATCTTGTTCCGAATGAGCTTTTTAAAGTTTAATAACCATATCCCAATTTTAGACCGGGTTCCCTAGCAAATAATCCTGAATAATCATTATTTATTATCAGGTAACGGATATTACTAAGAAAAATGAGTTTGCTGATGTTATGCATGAAGCTGTAACAAACCCCAAGAATTGTGAAAGACTTAACGAATACCTCGGAAAAAACGACGTTGATAAGTATGACAAGAATTTATTGAGCCTTTATTAATTACTAAAAATTATTTCCAGATGGGGTGCTGATTTTTTAAATGGAACGGATTGAAAGAAACACTGGACTGATTCGTAGAAAATTAGCTAGAATCATTTATAGATTTCGATTAGCTATTTTATCAAATTTTTAGTAAATTTTAAATTTTTTTTTGATAAAATGAAATTTTTTTGGAATTAATACTTGAAAATAATTTTAAAATTTCTAATCTAATCAAAATACTAATCAAGCTTACACCCTCTCCTTTGAATGATCATTTCTGCTTTAGAACATCCCCATTCAATACATTGCTCTAACGAGTAACTACAAACAAATCCAGAGATGAAACCTTTAAGAATATCTTAATTTTTGGTATTTTTAAACCTCCAGCAAACGCATCTCCAGCACAGCTGGAATCAACTAGTGTTCCATTTGGTATCTCTTTAACTTTGTATTCAATCAGGTGCCCATCGTTTTTGATCACTATTAATGGTAACGCATCTCTAGTAATTACAATCACTCTCTCGTTTAAGCTGTTAAACTTTGAATAAGATGTTAGTTTGGAAGTATTTCTAGGGAAAAACTCGGGAAAACTTTGTGGAATTACTATTTCTTGAATTTTTGTCCAGGGCAGTGTGTTGGATCTGAGACTGAATATCTCTGGATAAGTTTGTGAATATTTCTAATCTCACTCAGCTACGTACAACTATTATAATTTTTTATGTCATATTTTTCATACTCTCAAAAAGTTCCCGATGCCCGGAAATCGTGAATTTTTAACTATTTTTGGGGCGTGAATTGAAGATTCAAGATAATCGTAAATTGAGGCTCCTTCTCTATAACCAGCATATTATTAATTTTATTATCTCTACCTTCTCATATTTTGCCATTTCTAATCCAATATCTTTAATATCCTCTTTTTTATCAAAATTCATTTCGTTTGCAAATGCCCTATATTCATCTTCATTACCTCAAATTTAAATTTTAGTGAATTTAAATTAAATTGAGTTAAATACCAAAAATTAAATCCGAATATTTTAAAATAATCTCAATCTCTTTTTTAAATTTCTTAGCCAAATATTCAGCTCCCATATTGAAAATAAATTTTTTATTTTTGTTAGCAGCATATTCACATATCCGCATTATACATTTTGGAGAAACGTTGAGGAAATGGGCCTAATTTTTTATTTTAAAATTTTTTAAAATTCATACTGAGGTATAATAAACAGAAGCAATTTCAATAACCGACCAGTTTTCAGGGGTTTCCAAAAATTTCAAATTAAATTTGCTCGCTGCGCCAAGATTAGCACACATCGACCTTTAAAAATTAATCTACTTAGATTGAAACTAGGATAGCAGCCCGAGTCTTCAGGGTTGGGATATCGGAGATCGAGGTTTTGTCGTGGTAGAGCCTTTAAGGTTCGGGTCGGTGGGTTTTTTCCAAAAAAAATTTTGTGGGGCGGGTTGTACCCTAATTAAAACCGTTTAATTTAAATTTCAATAAACCTCTTCGTGCCATTTATTAACGTCAAGCATCTACCAGTATATTCATCTTCAATTTTTTGACACAAGATATGTAAACCTGATTTTTGACATTCTGACAATAATATTTCTGAATAATCATCGTTTCCTACAGAACCAAAAAATGTTGCAAAATGAATATCTGACTAATTAAAGATTATTTCTTAATCAGAATTTTTGAAATCATTTTTAAATACATTATTATCATTGTTGATTATTTTGGTCATTGTCCATTGAAAAATCCTAACTGTATTAAGTATTGCACCTCCAGGCGTATATTCAATGTTTGGATCACTTTGAGAATTGAGAATCTCGTCGATTCTATAGATTTTATAAACCCTAGTATTAAGATTTCAGATAAAAAAAATCAATACGCCGTAATGGCACCCACAAAATCTGAATTATAACAAATAATGGAGAAATTGGCTGCATTAGAATCAAAAATCGATAATAACAACACAAAATTTTCGTCTTTTTCTAATGAAATTCTTCTAATTAAAAATGCTTTAACAACAATTGAATCAAAAATTCAAACAATTGAAACAAATTTTAAAAACAACGAGTCATCAGCTAGCGAACAAGAACGCAATCGTTCTATTGTTGTTATTGGTCTACAAGAATCAAAATCAACAACACCATCAATTCGTGTTTGTGAAGATAAAGCCGCAATCGAAGATGTACTCAACTTGTTGGGGGTTGAGAGCCCATTCATTTCGTATAGAATGGGTAAGTATGACCCAACTGCTAGAGGTTGCCGTTTAGTTAAAATTGTCTTTGGTGCTTCAAAATTTCAGAGAATTGCACTTGCTGAATGGAAACGTCACAGAGTGGAAATGAAAAAAGAAGCTAAATGGTCTCGCTTATTGATTAGACCAAGTCTTACCCGTGAACAATTGGAAGCTGAAAAAATTGAACGTGCAAAGAAACGAGATGAATACAATAAGAAAATGAGTACAAATGTGACTGAAAGAACAAAAAACTATTAAAAGGTCGTCCAAGATTCAAGGTTTTAAAAAATTCTTTAAAAAATTCCCCTTTTTATAAATGTCTATATTTTAATAGCCGGAGCTTAGTTAACAAATTAGATGCCTTAAAATTACTTTTAATTTCTAGATCCTTTAAATTAATATGTATTTCCGAATCGTGGTTGAACAAAAAAATCGATAATTCCCAAATTATACATACCACATCTTATTCCATTGTTAGATGCGATAGAGGTTCTAGGGGTGGTGGTGCTTGTATTTTAATAGATAATATAATTCCCTTCTCTCCTGTTAAAATTCCTAAAAATAAAAACTCCGACGTTGTAGCTATAGACATTTACTCCCCCAAATTTGACAAATTTAGAATAATAACTGTTTATCGTCCTACCACAAACGAGAATTTTGAAGACTTTCATGAATTTCTTGAGACTTTAAGTTATTTACTATATATTAATCATAACTACATAATCGTTGGAGATTTTAATTTTCCAAACTTAATCTGGAAAACCAATATTCCACTATCTATCAACCATAAATCACCCTCTGAAAAATTATTTGTTGAATTTGTAGGAAATTACAATCTATTTCAAGAAATCTCTTCCCCAACCAGAAAAGATAATTATCTTGATTTACTTTTTTCCTCTTCTGCCTCTCGCGTTGCAAAAAATATTATCATTAACGCCCCCTTCAAAAATTCTGATCATAACACTATTGAATTTAGTTTAAATTTCAAATATTTCCCAAAAGAACCAGAATTCATCCTTGACTTCCACAATGCCGATTACAATCATATTAACAATATCCTAATTGGTTTAAACTGGAATACTTTGTTTTTAAATTGCACTGATGTAGATTCCCAATACACCTTATTTTTAGAAATCATTCATCAAATAATCCAAAACTTCATACCATTAAAAAAGATCAATAAAGATTGTTCTAAATTCCCTAATCATATTCAAAAAATGATCTCATATAAAAATCTTTTATGGAAAAATATTAATAAACCTGCTATCCGTGAAAAATACGGATAGCAGGTTCAGACAAAGATAAAGCCGAATGTCTGGCAAAACAATTTCAATCTGTTTTTAACTCTTCTAACTTTGACTCCTCTGACATAAAAACTTATAACAAAAATAATTTATCTTTTATTGATATCAATCCAGAGGAAATCTACAGCATCATAAACAAACTTGACAATGTTAATAACATATCCCCAGACGGAATCCCCAACATTTTCTTAAAAAATACAGCAATCTCATTAACCACTCCACTAACAATTATATTCAATATGTCAATTATGACAAGTAAAATTCCAACCATTTGGAAAAAGTCAATAATCCGCCCTATTCCTAAAAATAGTAACCCTAATGAACCTAAAGATTTTCGATCTATTTCTCTCCTATGCCCAACTTCTAAAATTCTAGAACGAATTATCTCTAATAAATTAACCTCATTTCTTGAAACTAATAATTACCTTCCCACTTGCCAACATGGTTTCCGTAAAAACCATTCAGTTATAACTCAACTCCTGGAAACCTATAACGACTACACATTAGCTATTGAAAATAAGAAATGTGTTGACGTTATATTCTTCGACCTTGCAAAAGCTTTTGATACTGTTCCCCACGATCGCCTTCTGAAAAAACTCTATCATCTAGGTATCACTGGCACCTTACTAAATTGGATTAAGGACTATCTGTTAAATCGAACATTTACAGTTCTTGTCGAATCAAAAAATTCTAATGAATATCCTATAACAAGCGGAGTCCCTCAAGGGTCCATCCTAGGCCCAATCTTATTCATCTCATATATTTCGGATATAATGGATTTTTGTAAAACAGACAAAGTTACTCCAAAACTATTTGCTGACGATTTAAAGGCCTATACCTGCTTTGACTTCCTAAACAAAAATCACTACTCTCCACTCCAAACATTTATCCAAACATTCTCAAAATACTGCGAAATAAATGGCCTTAAAATCGCTGTCAGCAAATGCAGTTCATTTCACATAGGGACTAAAAATCCCTTCCACCAATATTCTCTACAAAACATTAATATACCAACCATTCCACCCAACGAACCTATTCGCGATCTTGGCATTTATTTTACATCCAACTTAAAATGGGATTCTCACATTAAAATCACAACAAATAAAGCAACTAGAATTTATTATACTCTTATAAGATCTCTTAAAACTAACAATACTCAATTCCTAATTACTCTATTCAAAATATATGTCTTACCTATCCTCGAATCTGGATCTCCTATAATTAACCCTTATTTAAATAAAGACATAAATGCTTTAGAAAATGTCCAACATAAATTCTTAAAAATAATATACTTACGCTCTGGAAAACACAATAACAATCCAATATTACCTAATTATAAAGAACTCCTTGAGCTATTTAAACTTGAATCTCTATCGCATAGACGTCTAAAATCAAATCTTATCCTTTTCCATAATATTATTTCAGGTAAAATTAACCTAAAACACGATAATACATATAGCATTCCCCCCACCACTACTAGAGGTAATCCGCATAATTTATTTATCCCCTTTTGTTCAAGCACAATTCGGAAAAACTCGTTTTTTATAGACATCCCAAACATTTACAGAAAACTTCCACCTGAATTACAAAAATCGTCAATCGAATTGTTTCCAAAGCTCCTAAACAATATAAACCTAAACAATATTTTATCAAAGTCACATTCCATTTCATTGTCTCCAGACCTTATACAGAACTTTTGATTTAAATTATAATCACTTTTCATTTTATTTTATCTGAATGTCACGTTTTATACGTATAAATTGAATTGAATTGAATTAAAATGGATTACATTGACCTAGGGATCCTTTGACTATATGATTTACTGAAATTGCGAACGAGTTCCTTATCATATTACTTGATAAATTAGATATTATAGGGATGAAGAAGATTATACGAATGAAGTCAAGAATGAACTCTACTTATTATACCTAAACTTTAGATGAAAGGCAAGAGAAGTGTAACATACTCTGTGATCTCTAACCTAATCCTTTATGTATTCTTAAAACTTTCAGTTCTTAAAACAATTTACGGACTTAGAAGCATAATCATATTAAAGAATAATGAATAAACTATTTAATTAATAGGATCTTGGTATTATTTTTTAAATTACAATTCGTCCATATATTTTTTTGTAACAAGCATAGAACCATTTTCCTCAAGACTGTGATTTTGTATAAATTGTTTGTCCACATTTGCTGTTATATCTTAAATTACATCTAATAATAATAATATTATTATTATTTTACTACCTAAAAGAGGATTTCCTATACCAACAAGAATATTTTTGTAATCCATAATTGTACAAAAAATTATTAATTATTAAACAAATATAAGATAACATAGCGACTTTTTTTAATCTTTTTTATTATCAGTAAATTATTTAATTGTAATCATTGATAAATTATTATTACAAAAAGGAATAAAACAACTATACTTTTACAAAATTTAAAGTGTTTTAAAAAAGTGTAAAATGAAAATTTAATTTGGCATATACAGGGTTATAGGGACTTTTAAATCGTAAGTTTTTAAACCCTTTTAAATCGTAAGCCCTCGGTTTTCCGTTGATTTGTGGATTTTGAAATCTCAATGTTTGGAGACATTAGAACCTCATCACTTTTGTTCTCCCATAGTGTTGATAAATATGTGGGAAAATTCTTCCTGGATCCTTTTCAATATTTAAGACATGTAAAACAATGGTTCGTTATAGGGATTAGGGACACCCTTATTAGGAACACTTTACTTTTCGGCAAAATTGAACAGAGTTTATTTAGAAAATAAAATATTTTGTTTAATAATTCGCAAAAATGTCTGAAAAATATCCAATTTGTCCAAATTCTCTCTAAATTTTTTTCGCAAAGTAGGTTTCATCGTCACAAGCGCATGATCCTTCCGATGAAATCAAATAACAAACAAAAATTATTTTCAAGGTTAAAGAGACATATTGTTCATCAATAACGTCTGTCTGTAAAATGGCGTTTTTTATGACGAAAAAAAGCTAGCGGCAAAAAATAAAATAAAAAAACGAACGGCTGGAAGTTGAAGGAATGTGGGTAGATGACTAATTATTTTTCTGGTTTTTATGTTCGTTTTTTTTTGATAGAAGAAAAAAAATTAACAAAAAATAAGCAAAAAATTTACAAGAAAGCTGGTGGATGGTACGACGAAAGATGTTACTTTTTTGGATGTTTTTTGGATGGTTTTTGGATGTTTTTTGGATGAAGGGGTACCGGAACTTGCAAAAGAAAAAGCAGCTTTTCGATAAAAATGATATTCAAGGTTATGAAAGTTGGATCATTTAAAGAGTGAAATTTACACGATAAAATTCATTTTAAAATTAATCGAAAATAACAAGACAAAAGCGATTTCCCTTAACATTCCCCACAAAAACTATTCACTAAAAATGTTTCCAAAATGCCAACATTCAACTTTTAAACCAATTTCTACATTATTACTCTTTCTCACAATATTTCTATTCCTAGAATCAGTAACTCCTCTTGGATTCGGAGGAATTTTAGGCGGAACAGGCGGAGGAGCCTGCTCAACTTCAAGCTGTAATTGCCAACCTGTAGCACAACAAGCACCACCACCCGTTCCTGTATGCTCTCCACAACTTCCCCCACCTCCAGCTCCTTTATGTGCCCCAGCATTTCCTGCTCTACCTACGTTACCTCCACTTCAGCCTTTGCAATTTCCACAACTTCAATTGCCTACATTCGGTAATTTTTTAAAATTAGCCTAATAAAATCCATTTTCTAACCCAAAATAATTTAAAGGTAATAGTTTTGGTTGCTCGTCGTGTTCCTCAAATGTTGCGGCCGCTCCTCTACCACCACCTCCCCCTCCCCCTCCTCCTGCACCCTTGTGTTCATCCGGCTGTTGTGGCTCAAGTAGTGCCAATTGTAATCCTCCAAATAACAATCAGGCAGCTTATGCCAACAATAACCGTCACAATAACAACAATAATAATCAAGGAGGATATTCAGAAAAATTTTAGAAAATAGGAAAGAGCAAATTCAGGGAGTGATGGATCTCTAAAATGGTTTTAACGGAATGAGGAATTTTTTATTATTTTTTGTTTAATATTTGAATTATTTGCTGTATTCCAAAGAATGTGTAAATAAATTTTAAATATTATTTCTTTAAATTTTATTCATTATTCTACAATTTACAAATTTACAAAAATTTCTAAAGTGAAAATAAGGCAAAGATATTATTTTTAATAAGCCCTTTCTACTAAAAATAAGCTAAGATTTGACTTCAATTTTCCCCAATTTTTCTTATTTTCCACAACCACAACCGCATCCACAGTTAACAAATACTGATACAGCTGGACCACAACAACCACCCCCACATCCTCCTAAATAAGAAAAAAATAATTAGGAAACAAGTCCTCTTTTTAATAATTACCTCCACATGATGGAGCAGGAACTGGAGGAGGAGGAGGTACACCTCCGCAAGGATTGCAGCAACAACAAGGCGAGCCACATGGAGTTGGAGGAGGTGGTGGTGCACATGGTTGAGGGCAGCAACAACAGCAACCTTTAGATTCTCCACCACCTCCTAATCCGCCGAAAAGGAAGCTTTGAGACAAAGGCAATTCCACAATGAGGATTATTGAGAAGAAAGCAAAGAAGGTTGAAAATTTAACTGAAGACATTATTTTGTTGTTTTTGAGGGTTTGAATGTGTTTAGAAGGAGGAAAGTTGATGATTAAAACAACAAATTGAACATCTTTATATATGGACAAATTTTAAAGCCAAAACACGTTACACTAATTTTTTGTTAAACAGAACAAAAGAAAAATCAAAGCCGAACTTTGATCCAAACTCGCGGACCAATGAGCAAAAGAACAATAAAAACAAATAAATTTTGGTAACCGATAGCCTAAGGGCCATTGCACAATTTTGATTTGAAACGAACGGTGATAGCATATTTTGTAATAAAAAAATAAAGAGACGAACACATGAAAGCACAAAGGAAAAGCATTAATGCAAATCCAGTTTAATAAATTGTAAAAATTAAAAAAATTTTTTTGTTATTATTCCTGTTCAACCAGTCAACGTTAATTAAGTTCAAAATAATTTTTTTATTAATTGTTGTAATTAATAATTTATTAATTTGCAAAATTAACAACTTTATTTCTAGGGTAATTCGAAATTTGGTTCAGGAAAATTCTAAAGATTCTGAAGGGTCCGACAATCATTTCCAAACTTTTTTTGTTTTTGTCATTAGGCTCCGCTTCTTCTTTTAGATTATCCAAACTTTTTTTGCTTTTTTATGTCATGGATTGGAATTTTCCAAGCAGTTCCAATAAGTTCCAATCATTTTCAATTAATTCCAATCAGTTCCATTCAGTTCCAATCAGTTCCAATGAGTTCAAATCAGTTCCAACAAGTTCCAAGCAGTTCCAACAAGTTCCAATCAGTTCCAACAAGTTCCAACAAGTTCCAAGCAGTTCCAATCAGTTCCAATCAAATGGCATTGGAATTTCGACCAGAATTACCTTTAGCTTTTTATCCCTTTTACTCTACGTTCCTTTAAAATCAGTGTTTAGACAACACTTATTTAGTATATCCTTACCTAAACACCTTTAAATTAAAGACTCTAATAGGCCCTAAATTTAATTTAAAATATCGATTTTAAATGCCATCGAGAATCTGCCTTGATTGCCCTTCCCTTCTTTTATAAAAAAATTTTTAAAATGAGAGGCATTTAAAATTTTCTCTCCACCACGCGACTGTCAGATGCTCTCGCTATTTCTCCCGCCATTCGTCATTTTACAAGGGCATTTATTAATTTTATTTTTAAATTAATGTTTATTACCTTCATTTTATTTTTAAAATTAATTTAAAACTCCCCCATAAAATTAAAATTTAAACAATTCAAAATTTGTAGCAAAAACCTGGAACATGAAAGAGAAAATTCGCTTGTTCCGTTTACCCCCTCCTGTAAATATTCCGATAGTTTTTTTGATTTTGTTTTTTCTACATTTAAAAAGTGGATCTGCTTTGCTCTCAAAAAGAGATCCTTCAATGCCCCAACAAGTTCATTTGGCACTTACAGGCAAAGAGAATGAAATGAGTATAACTTGGTTAACTCTTTATGATGCAAGTATGTTTTGGAGCTCGATCTAATTTAATAAAAGATACTATTAAATTACCCTAATTTAGCAGGGTAGTGACTGCCTGAACGACTTAATGAATTATCAAGATTAATTTACTAGCTACTTTTTGACTGAATAATTACACTCTCTCAAATAATCACCACCTTCGAATAATACTCACCAATAAGAACTTGAAACCTTAATTATCCTCCCACAAGCTAATTTCAAAACTCGAATAATTACTCTCTCTCTCTCTCAAATAAGGATCCGATTAACTCTCCTCCAACGAGGAAGACGTGATAATAAGCAACCCTAAATGCCCTACTGCACGTTTTACTTTCAAATCTCGAATAATTACACTTTCTAAATTAATTGCCACCTCTAGGAAAAGTTCGAGATAATAATAACAGATTTATTATTAAAGAATATACGACATCTCTCTACATATAAATCCATCGTTTACATCCCAAACAACCTGATTATTAAGCCTGTTAACTTATTCTTTTATCGGCGTAGTGACAGAAGACCCACAGACAGAAGACCCAAGGACAGAAGAACCACAGACAAAAGACCCACAGACAGAAGACCCACAAGGACAGAATACCCACAGACAAAAGACCCACAAGAAAAAATTTTTAACCAAAACTTAAGAAGAAATTTTCTGAAATTTTTGAAAAAAGACTGTCTATTTTTTAGGCACAAGATTTCAACAAATATTTTTAAAATATTAAAAAATTTATTCTAAAGTTAATCAATCGTGTTTGACTAATGAAAAAGTAGAGTGAAGAGTCGGGTGATTAATTGGGATATGTAGGAATACGTGGGATTTAGACGATATAGGTGTAAAACCTCAAATCCACTGATGTCTATTCTTATCCATAAATTGTTTATAACAGGAACCGGGTGAAGGATACTCCGATATCTCTCTTTAACAGAAAATCGGATATGTCAAAGGATTTAAAGGGATGTAAACGGATTTAAACCTTTTGAGCTTAATGTCCCTTTGATCTACTTTTTTTCATTGTTGCAGACAAAAATTTTGGGAATTTTGAAAGGGCAAGAAGCAACGTTTCTACATTTTTAACAACCTAGGTGAAAATTCTTTGAATTTTGGAAGGCTAATTAGCTATTTTTATATCATTTATTATATCTGAACCTGATCAGATTTGTTTTTTGACATGAGCTGGACCGGATTAAAACTCCCGAAAATCTGGGGAATCAAGATCCACTTTTGTTAAACAGCTCCCCTGTCATTGGGACAAGATTCCCATCGTTGGAACAACTTGACCTGTTTTTGCAACAACATCCCCCATTGTTAAAATAACATCCCCTTTTTGGAACAAGGAACAACTTCCCCGTTATCTGAACAACATCCTACATTGTTGGAACAACCTTCCCGATTATTGGAACGACCTTCGCTAATATCGAAACAACTTTTCCCGTTGTTGGATCACACTTTTATTATGGAAAACTAATAAAATTAACAACATCCCTTGCGCCAAAATTTATGCACATAAAACTGAAAAATAGTTGTGGGTCTTTTGTCTGTGGGTATTCTGTCCTTGTGGGTCTTCTGTCTGTGGGTCTTTTGTCTGTGGGTCTTCTGTCCTTGGGTCTTCTGTCTGTGGGTCTACTGCGTCGACCCGTCTTTTATCATTCCCGATGTCACAAAAATATTTAGTGTAATTTTCCATTAAAAACATTATTAATAAAAAAATAATATTAGCTTTATATTTGCTCAATGTTTAACCAAAAACAATGTTTTTAGGATATACGAAAGGTGTGCACACATTTGTTGACTATTGGGAATTCGAAGACAAAAAAACAATGAGAAAAACAAACCGAAAAACAAAAACAATGACGGCAAAGCCTATTAAACACAAATATTCTGACACAATTGAAGTAACAAAATATTTAAGTCGAGACTTTATTTTACTTAATAATTTTAGACTTCGTGTGCAACAAATTTGGAACAATTAAAGACTCGTTATATTCATCGAGTTACCCTTACAGGGCTGAGTGAAAATAAAAGATACGGTACTTTATTTGTTGAAAAAACAAATTTTTTAATCAAAAATTTGACAGAATATCAAGTTGGATATTTCAAACCTTCCAAGATTCGCGGGGTAGAGTGCACAATCCCGCAATCTTTTTCTGAGGGAAAAGATCCTCGCCATTGTAAAAAAGTGACAAGGAAAGACGTCTTCAATTTTTTCATGTTCCCTTGGTCAAACCCTGGCGATTTTGATTTTACAATTGCAATATTTGGAGATTTGGGATTGAAAAAGCCGGGTGCAAATGTTTCGGATAAGGTGAAAAATTTATTTATAATCTGTTTGGACAGAAATTTGGACTATTTTTACTCCATTACGTTTCTAAAGTCGCACCTGGCACTAATAATACTAATAATAACATGAATCCTTGTATAGTAGATATACTTTAGGTGTATCTTGAAAAATAATTACTTCGGCATAGTTGATGTAATCAGATCTCTAACCCATTTAAGGGGGAGAATATCAGAACATTCTATACATATTAACTATTTTAAAATTTAAGCTGTCATGGAGAAGTCCCAAATATGATAAGCTTGCTCCTCAAGCATTCGAATCCTTAATAGAGCTTGTTCACAGAAATGCTAACCCAACCCATCCGATGCTTAATAAATTGAAACATCCTATTCACAAGTCGCATTTGGATGAAAAAAGTAGTGGATTTAAAATGCAAAGTGTTCAGCTTATTTTACATATAGGTTTTTTAATCTTAAAGATGTTTAAATAAATCATATCAGGTGACATTGCTTATAATCTTCATACTTGGCGTTCCAAAGGAAAGAAACCAAATTGCGAATTTTACAATTTGGGAGACCGTTTTATGACAATTATGGAAAATGTTGCGGCATATGTGCCGTATCTGGTATATTATTAGTTTCATAACTCAGCCATGATCTTGAATAGAGAGTTAACCAGGCTTGGTAATGGATACGGATATGGATACAGATAAGTTTAAAATGCCTGCGGCATCCGCCATAGATATCCGGACACGGATGCCAAAATCCAAGTCCATTACCAAGTCTGGGGTTAACCTAGCAGAGGTTCCCCAACTGCTGCCAAATTTTGTTTTCATCTTTAATTAGGTCTATCCATTTTAGTTCTGCCAAGAATATCTCTTATTGTGGGCATCTATATTTACCGTTTTTGGGTGTAACTTCTATATAAGCATGAAGATCCAATCAAGTATAAATTGTAGAATTTTTAGGTAATTGCTGGTAACCATGAAAATGAGGAGAAGAATGAGAATAGACCAGATCCGCCTGGCCCGGATTCAACATTTTTCAATCCACAATACGAACATTTTGAATCGCGCTTTTTCATGCCGAGGAATTTGACTAACCATCATACAAATCATTATTATCAGTATAGCTTAATTTATCATTAAAATTATCAAAAATTATTGTAGCTTTAAATATGGCCCAATCTTTTTTATTTGTGTAAGCACAGAATTTTATTATTCCTTTTCAAAACAAGAGCCGTTTAAATGGATACCGGATGTTGCGCGAATTCAAAAACAATACGAATTTATTAAATACAGTTTGAAGGTAATTAGATGTTCCAATTGAAGCCCTCGCTAATTTAATTATCAATTTAAGGAAGCAAATGAACAGCGTGATAAGTATCCTTGGCTCGTTGTTGTTCAACATCGACCATTTTATTGTACATCGAAAAACAAACAGACTTGCAGATTTAACAAATATGTTGGTAGATTTATAATCACAAGGGGTCTAAGAGACCGGCCTGAGAGATTTCTTGTCTGAGAGACCGGACTGTGAGATCATTAGACTGGAGTCTAGTCTGAGAAACTTGACGGGAGATCAGTTAGAAGGGAGCTCATCTCATTGTATGAGACAGAGTAACAGGCCTTGATAGTTTGACATCTATTTACAAATGGGCCTATTATTTACTCCATTTATTCCTTCCAAATTTATTAAAGCATAAAGATGGCATACCATTAACGGACCCAAACAATCCAAAAATTTACAAACTCCAATATGGACTTGAAGAATTATATAATCGTTATCACGTGGATTTGGTTTTATCCGGACATGAACACGCTTTTGAAATGTTCCCACCAATTCAACTGAACAAAGAAGTTAATAAAGTTGTCCCCTACAAGTATTGGTGGAATGCTACACGCTTAGTGAACGTTGACAATAATACTACACCTGTTCAACATGATTTTATGTCGTTTCGGGTTTTTATCTTTTTTAACTCGAAAAATCTTAAATTTAATATAGGATCCAGTTGCTCCTGCTTATGTGGTTGTTGGGCGACCAGGCAACACGGAAGAGATGGAGCAGTTATCTGACATCCCCTATTTAGAACGGATTAAAGAATACACCGATTTTTCCATGACATTGCTCCATTACCCAGGATCAGTTGCCAAAAAGTCATTGATTACAGTAAGACAGGTGGATGTACTTCAAGGCAATGTTCCTATGGAATTTGCGTTGGAAAAAACATTTTCTTCCTACAATATCAAAGAAATTTGTAATTCCATGGAGGGAAATGTTAAAAATAAATATCAGCTGGAAAGCAGTCGTTTAATCAGTGATCGAAAGCGGCACGAGAAATTCTTGGAGGATACAATAGAATTTTCAATTCATAATTATGCTGATTTAGAGGAAAAAGAACCGGATTTGGTTTATCCAGCACTTTCTAAAAATGAGGATATGGATAAAGCAAAAGAATTCCTTTTAAAAGAGATAAGCATTACTGCTGGTGAAAATAGCAAAATTCGAGCTTTGTTATACTCCTACAATTTGAAGAGAGAACATCCTTTAGATACTCATTTAAATGAAATGTACAAACTTGCAATAAAAGGAGTTTGTGTAAGTAATTACCAACAAATCTTGAAGAATCAAGCATACTTGAAGAATCAACAAGTTCAAGAAGCCATTAGACAATTTACTCAAAAAATTTTAATGGGCCATTCAAAAATGTTTGGTAAAGCTCCAGAACAAAAAATCAGCGATGATAAGAAGAGTAAGAAGTCAGCTACAAACAAAGAAAATTTACAACCCAATGTTAATGTAAAAATTTTAAATTTATCTTATTCATATAAACGTAAATCCCAATTATTTTAGCCATTACAAACAAATATTCAAAAAACTATGAACCCTTTTCAAAATCTTTTTGGTAAAAATATATTTGGAACGAACAAAGAAAATGCACATCCCAATTTTGTAGCTCAAAATGGTCCACAACATGTGTTCCATTTTCAAGCAGGGGCGGATGGAAACGTCAAAAAAGGTAATGACTTAAAACAATTTAAATTCAACTAGAAAGATCCAATACATCCTTGGAAATATTTGAATATCATGGCCTTATTCAACCTCGATCCTGAGGAATCATTGCATATAGACTTTCTATTATTAAAAGCTGATAGAAATGAGGGATGAGGATTAATATTCTGAAAATCTCAAACTCGGTAGTCTCGAATCCGTTAGTTCCTAAACCTAAAGTAATCCTATCACAATCCGATCTCTATCCTCGATCTTCCAACCTCTTTACTATGATAAATAAGTGATTAATTTAAATCACTGTTCAATTATAATTTATTCAGACCAAAATGGTAACTATGTTAAAAATGGAACTAAAATATTCGGAACAAACAAAAAAAATGTACAGCCAAATTTTGTAGCTCCAAATGTTCCACAGAATGTGTTCCATTTTCAGGCAGGGTCGGACGGGAATGTAAATACTAAAAAAGGTAACGACTCGAAACTATTTGAAACAACTAGGAAGATCGTTGTAGGAATTCTCGGAAATATTCGAATATCTTGGCTTTATTCAACCTCGATCCTGAGGAATTATTGAATATATGATTTCTATTATTAAAATTAGAAGAAAGGATTGACATCCCTAAAAATCTCAAACTCGGTACTCTTGAATCCGTTAGTTCAAATCTAAAGTAATCTTCTCCCGAAATAATCACTATCTTGGATCTTCTAACATTTTACTATGAGAAATAAAGGATTAACTTAAATTAATTTATTTTTCAATTCTATTTTATTCAGAACAAAATGATAACTATTTTAAAGATGGAACTAAAATATTCGGAACAAACAAAGAAAATATTCAACCAACTTTTGTAGCTCAAAAAGTTTGTAATTTAATTATTAGACAAATTAAATTATAAAAATTTAAGCCTACTTCTACAAAGAATGTAAAGAAATCTGCCAGTTTTGCTCAAAATATTTCGACAGATATTCCGCAAAATTTGAATACTTCTTCGGTAAATACGAGCAGCCCGACTGGAGGGTTAAAAGGAATATTGAAAGTTCCGCTACCAACCTTTCCACAAACAAGTTCGCTCAAACCTGTTCAAGTCGATACCAATACTCATGTCACTGCCGAGTATTCACCTCAAAGTTTAGACAAGCCAAATTCTCCACAAGTTACATATCGTATCAACACTCAAGTTAAAGTTGATTATAAACCTCAAAAAGACATGAAAGGAGAAACATTGAAAACAACCGAAAAAACACAAACCACACCCGAAGAATCTAAAAACAAAGTCGAAAAAACGCAAGTTAACAAGCGAAAACGAAATTTTAAAGCAAAAATTAAATGGAGCGAGGATGAGCTTTATGATCTTACTGATCTTATAGCTTATTTTTATTATAGAGCTTTGGTTAAACCCTCTTGTGATATGTCAAAATTTCCACTTTTTAAAGGATATATTGCTGAAAATGGAGATAAGATTTTAGAAATGAATCCGAATGTTGCAGAAAAAATTATTTTGAATGATAAAGCAGATTGTGTTTTTATTCATTACTACAAAAGTATTCCAAATGAACAGGCAAATTATGGAACATTGTTGGACAAATTATTTAGCTCAAAGGGGGTTTGTTTTTCAATTATTACTTGCTACTGATAGAGATATTGGGCCTATTTCTCCCCTCCACAGAATCTGCGTTCTATGCACAGAACGCAGTTTCTGTGGAAATTCTATTTCTCCGAAATTCTGGGTACGCAGAATCTGTGAACGTAGAAATAGGCCCCAGACCGAGACGGGAAAAATCTTGAAACTCGTTCACCCTCTCTAGGTCAAGCTCAATATTTCTTTATACTATTAATCATTCAAAGACAATTTTCAGTTAAAATTTTCTGGAGACGAGATTAAGAAGCGTGTCAGTTATTCAGAAGAGGGGCAAAAACAGATATATGACGCAGTACCTCTTCGAGCTGTTCTGCGAAAGCTTAAAGAAGTCTCTGTTGAAGGAGATAAATTTTTTGAGAAGAATCAGGATCTATTGTATGTTGAGATCGAATGATTTCAATATTATGAATTTTCCAAAAATTTATGTTAGAGTTATGAAGAAACAGAACCCACGGATTTTTTAAAATCTATTCAACGATTTATTCAAAAATTTATCAAAACATACCTCGGCTTTATTTTTAAGTCCTCTCGAAAGCATTTTATTATTAGTAATTATATTTAAATTTTATTTATTGTTTAAATACCGTATTTCCTATAGTAGACCCCATGTGGCTCTATTTTTTAACTATCCTCCAAGTTGGAGCTGTATTGGGGGGTAAGGCTCTAACAGAGGATGATGCTCTAATATGGGAAATACGGTATTTACCATATGTTTTAAATTATTATTTTATTATCTAAATATTCACAATTTGTATTTAAATTTTATTTCACAAAGTTTTGTTCGATTTATATTCGAAAAAAATTTTTTTCTAAAAAACAACCTTTAAAACCCAAATTTTATCCATCTAAAATTTATTTTATTCATTTTTAAATTCTCTAGATAAATTTATTTTAGTCTCTTTCTCTTAAATTTTGTTTTGACCAGCTGGTAATAATTTTTAAATTATTTTCGCCTTATCAGTTTAATTAATTTTTTCAAATGTCAAAGCAATTTAGCGTTAAATAATCGTCTTTCGGCCTTCATTAGGGGAAGGTATGTGCACCAAAAATTTAATTCCTATTACTTAACATTTATAAAATCAACGCAAAATGTATGGCGCCCCATATGTTTTTTCGTAGTTTTAAAAATGAGAGAAATAGTAAAATCTTTAAATTATAATGAGAGGAAATGATCGAATTATCGGCGGCTGTAAATTAAAAATAAATTGATAGGAAATCAATATGCGCATTTAAAATTACGCATCGATCTACCCCTGTTCAATTAAAAATTTATTTGGTTTTAATATTTTTTGTAATTATGCATGATCGTGGCCATAATCCCAACTTACCGTGAGCCCAAAGTACCGCAGAGCAATTAATTTGTTCAAAATTTCCTGATATAGTGAAGCCCATATATGTTTGGGGTTCCATAATTTGGGGGTCCATATATCCCCCTATATGTTTCAATGCGTCTCGACAATTTTGGTCAAAGTTATAGCTCGTAGTCCGTTCCTCTCGAGGCACCCTTCTCTCAAGGCACCGTTCCTTATGAGGCCTGCTCCTCTCGAGGCACCGTTTTTCTCCTCATAAAATTTCTTTCCGATTTTGGGAAAAAACTTTTTTATTTTTCTTTGATAATTTTCGACTGTTGAATTAAATTTTTGAAAAATAATTGAACTTTTTTTTTTAATTTGAATAACCTATTTTTACTTGATTAAATTTAAAAAGAAATGCAAGGTATCAGTATGAGCAACACAATGCAAAGAAGACAATTTTCTGTATTAGCCTGTGTGTTTCAATCTATTTTCGTAGCATTATTCGCCATTTTTGGAGAATTTCATAATCACGAGGAAGATAAACACAATCGGGTTCATGCCAATTATCCAATGTTTCAGGACATTCATACAATGGTTTTTGGGATTTTTTGGGGAATCATTCGAAAAGAAAAATTATTTTTAGGTGATAATCGGCTTTGGATTTCTCCTCTCATTTCTAAAAAAATATGGCCTCTCGGCTTTATCCATAAATTTGTTGCTATGCTCTTTTGTTATGCAATATGCACTATTGTTGAGAGGATTTCTAAGCCCCGAATTTTTGGAGACGGGCCTTTGTACTATCTCTATTGACGAGTAAACCTTGTTAAAAATTTCAGAAAAATTTTTATAATTTCATCCAAGGTTGGTACAAGCAGACCTCTCATGCGTTACAGTTCTTATTACAATGGGTGTTCTTCTAGGCCGACTGACACCCGTTCAGTTTCTTGTCCTAGCCTTTTTAGAGACCTCAATAACTGTTTTACTCGAGCATTTGCTTTACAATGTTCTTTTTGTAAGAAATTTTTCACAAAAATTTTTAAAACGCTTTGTTACCTCAAAAGATTAACGATGCTGGTCGTTCGCTTGTTGTTCATTGTTTTGGTGCTTACTTTGGCCTAGCTGCAGCCAAAGTCTGTCATAGACAGAATACAATGGTAGTAGATGATGATGAGTCCAGTGGGCATTCTTCTGAATTATTTGCCATGCTTGGTAAACGATTGAAAATGCAGGATTAAATCCCTAAAATTAATAGGAACCCTATTTATTTGGTCATTCTTCCCCTCCTTCAATGCTGGCTCAATTCCTCATTCTACACCGGAAATGAGACATCGAGCTTTCTTAAATTCATATTTGGCAATGGTTTATTTTTAACAACCATCTAAAATTTAAACACAAATTTTTTGTAAGCAAAGGCTGCTTGTACTACCGCCACTTTTATGCTTAGCTCCTTAGCTGATCACTTGGGTCGTTTCAATATGGCCCATATTCAAAGCTCTTCTCTAGCTGGTGGAATAGCTATAGGTGCATTTGCTAACGTTATTCTTTATCCTCATCATGCAATTGTTGTTGGGGCAGCTGCCGCACTTGTTTCGGTAGTTGGGCATGTCTTTGTTACGGTGAGAGAGCCATAAAGAAAAATAAGTAATTCATTTCCAGCCCAAAATCCTGGAAAAGCGACTGAGCATACAAGATACCTGTGGCGCTCATTCACTACATGGACTTCCTTCTCTACTTGCTGGGGTTTTTATTTATCCAGACGAAACTTTATCCCACAAAATTCTTAAGTTCCTCAGCGCTCTTTTTGTCCTCCTCTACGAACCATCAGAATATGGCCCAAACTTCGTAGAGCAATATAGTGCAATTTATCCTCAATGGAAAGGCTCTGGACAGCCTGGCGCGCATAGAGATCTTCGAACTCAATGTTTAGTTTAATTGAATTGATAATATAAATTCACTTATTTTCAAGCTTTCTTTCAACTTGCTGGCCTTGGACTAACATTTCTAACGGCTATTTTTGGAGGGCTCTTTTGTGGATGGGTAATGAATTGGTCTTTGCTGAATCAAGTACAGCCTAAACCGAGTTATGAGGATGCTAGCTATTATTTGAATGCAGAATTCTCACTTTTTGGAAACGTAACATACATATTTTTATTCACCGGACATTATAATGTACTATGATCGAGATCTCTAAAAAATTTCGATTAACAGGATTTTTAAAGCCCGGTTTCTCTTATGAAATTTTTTTGAATTCTTCCGTTGATCAGGAATTATCAATTTTATTCATTACATTCATTTTTAGATTGATAATTCTGCTCATGGTCTCGGAAGCTCAAATGCTTCAATTCATAAATGTGGCCGTATAGACTACAGACCTTTGGATATTGAAGCTGCCTTGAGAGCTGTCAAAAGAGCTGGAATTGGTCCAGATGCCATATTTTAATGACAAGTTTTTTTCTAATTAGTAGCATGTCTTCTGTTTTTTAGATTTATCATTTATATACATAAAAAAGATAATAAATTAATTTACGTAAATATTCTAATTGAAGCCTGTCTCTAGTATTTACTAGAATCCCATTAAGCACATGAGGAAACCATAGTAAATCTTCAGCCTATTCTTTTCAATAGAGAATATTCTCCCTCACCGGCTGAGATGAGCCTTATTCCCCATTCAACGCTTGAAAAATCAGTCAAAATAACTTCAATTAGTACATTTACAATATATGTAGTATAAATTTAAAATTATTTTTGTATAGTTTCAATAAATTTAGTGGAATTTTTCTTTGAAGAAATCCTTTCCAACCTTCTAACGCTCATCCTCGTTTTATTTTCAACAAAACTCACTCTCTAAAAATTAAAAAAATTTCGATTAAATTTTACTAAAAGGCCTTACTTTTTCAACCTTTTCTGCAAAACTTTTTGCATATTTTCTGCTTTCCCAATTCCTAATTATCCACCTTATAAACGATTTTACACTAATTAAGAAGATTATAGATAAAAGTATAGCTGCAGTGCCTATACCAACCATTGGGTCATAATTGCGATAAAAATCCTCAAAAGACTTCTCTGGGTTATAACTGCAAACGAATATTATTATATTAAGTTTTGGTTCCGACTAAAGATTATCAAGACCGAAAATTTCCCTTAAATCAGGACTTAGACAAGGAGTACTGTACAGATCTAGGTAGGCCGATCAGGGTAGGCCGTTTCTTCAAAGTCAATGTTTCATATTATTCCCCTGGATTCCTATATGACTATTAGATTTGCTCATTCTACGCACACATAAAAGGCCTTTCCTTAAAAACTGTATAAGTATTTTTCGATCAGTTCACATTAGGACCTGATCTAGCCACAAGATACACATTCAAGTTTGTCTAAATCTTAATTATTTTCGGTTGTTCCTATAACTATTAAACTAATCCACCCCAAATATTCAACGTAGAAAATTACCTTTGGAAATCACGTTTATCAGGTGGTTTACAATATGGGTGGCAAGCACGCTTTTCATAATACATTTTTAAAAAACTAAAAAATTTAATAAAATTTATTTTAAATTGACTTTTCTAAAGTAAATTTCAAGCAAAAATGGCCAATGTTTTTTAAACGAAAAAATATTTAAGTAGGAACACTAAATATTTGTACTAAAAGTATTGGATTTCACATAAATATGCAACCGCTTCATCCTATTCTTCCTTTTTTAAAATAACTAAAATTTAGTTTTGAAATATGGCAACATTTTTCCTTCATAGAAAATAAATAAAATGAAAAAAAATAAAAAAAACCGGATAATTTAAACCCTGGGCTCTGGTCTAGTTCACAAGTTCATTGGAAGTCTAGCCCGGGGTTCAGGCCTAGTTTAGTAGTCTGATGAAGTCTAGAAGCTCATATAATTTTATTAGACTCTCATAAATCTTCACTCATAGATACTGATAAAATTTTATTCGGGCCCAAAAGCTTTCATGGGACTAATAAAGGTTCATTAGACTATTAAACTGAACCAGAGCTAAATCATGTATCGAACACCTCGCCATAATTTTTTATAAACTGGCCCACGAAAAATTAAAAACAATGAACATCAAAAAGCTCGTTGATATGAATTTTTCTGATTTTTTGAATTCTGTTTTTATTTATATTTAAGTATTCTTAAGTTCCAAAAAGTTTATCATGTGTGAGAAAATTTTGGAGTAAATGGCTTTAACCGCTTAAGATTTTGAGTTTATTCTTGAGTAAGTGAAAGAGACAACTAAAAGCAGTTGGAAAGAATAGTTTGATGAAATTGGTGGGGAAATTGAAAAAAAAAATGAGAAAAAATAAGAAAAATGAAGAAAATGGACTATAATATTATATATTTTTTATGTAGTAATTCTCGTCGCTATGTCACGAAACCCTTGGGAAAGACAGTTGGCGGCTGGCAAATAGTATACTAGACATATTTATTTCTTCCGGAAATATATTGAAGGGAAACAATGAAATATTTAAAAAGTAATTAAACGATTTTAAATTTTTTGAATTATTTAATATTTCAAGGGAAGGAGTTATTTTTAGCATTAATTTACTCGTTAAATTATATTTTTTAGTTAATATCTGCAATAATAATATCAAGAAAACTTGTTTGCTAGGAAGGCTTAAGCAGTAAAGAAGGATGAAATCCCTCGAGAAAACAATACATACTTTAAAACTCAATATGTATTTTAAAAGGGCCAAAGAGTTACTCAGCTTAAAGGGAATAAAAATTGTTTTATTATAATTTGACTTTTATTAAAATTTAAAAAAACATCAAGGAAAGACTTGAGATTAAGTTGAGATCAGTGCTGGGTATTGGTCATTTTAGGATCCGGCTCCGAAGTTTAAAAACCTTACGGGGTTTTTGACTTTTTTGCTCCGGCTCCAGAGCGAGCTCAAGAATTTTGTAGATTCCGGGCTCATACCCTGCACAGATTGAGATCAGTTAAAAATGAGGGGAGACATAGGCAAGTTAACAAATGAATCAGGTACCTGATCATTTTTAACATAAAAATGTAGTAAGAGAGACAAGTACCTGATTTTTATCAAGAGATACATAGTATAAAGATATCAACTTTTCTTTTTTAATCTATTAATCTCTAATGCAGCTGTTTCTCTAGCACTTTTATTTCCAGTACTAGTTTCCTTCCCTTCAACATGAGTATCCAACAGACTAAAACTTATTTTACGGTTGTGATTTGAACTTGTAGATGATGGTGAATGTTCTTGATAATTATCTGAAAAATTTCAAGTCCGATTTAAATCCTTGTAATATCTACCATGTGGATATACTGAAGGTGTTGCACTTCTTGTCAAACTTAGTCTGTCGCTGCTTGGAAGCAGATCACTTGCGGTGCTGTTTTTAGCTGATGATTTAGTAACTGAGCTGGATGGCAACATAGCAGAGCGCAGTTTTTTTAATGGGCTCTAAAGGAAATTTAAGGAAAATTAAAGGATTCTGAAGGACTTAAGAAGATTCTCCACTAATTAAGTAAAATATCTCCTTTACCTTAACAACACCAATCGCCTTCGTTAGTTTACTAGACGAAGAGTGATCGTGTGAAAGGCTCTCTGAGCTACACAAACTGTCGTCCAAATCATCAGAAGCAATATTTGAATGTCTCAATGGCCTATCAGGTTGAGAACAACTTCCTATGGATACTTGCTTTGTAAGATTTGAACGGTTTAATTTAGAGAGCGCCTCGTCTTGTCTCGAGCTTGGTCTATAGATAATGATAAAGTTAGCACAAACTTCTTATCAGTGTTTTATCAACTTTAAAAATTATTTTATAATCGCACCTACTCGACGGTGTGACAATCACTTGTGTATTAGATACAGGAATTGTTTCATAGACTCGTGATTGAGACAAAACCGCAACTGTTTGTTGTGTGGCTCCGTCAACAGAGGATTCTTGTTCTATCCTTCTAGAACTAAGTGAAGATTATTTTTTAAAATTAGGATATTAATGCCTCTGAGACAAGGGAGAATTGCAACGATTGATAATTCTTCCCCTTTCAACTGTTGTTCCACTAGAAGTTGTAGTAGTGCCTGGAGCAGTACCTCGAGGATTTGGACGATAGACTACAGCACCACGAGTATTTCTTACAGCAGCGGGTACTTGACGATAGGAAAGGAAACGTGAAAGACGAGCGTGGGCATTCCTTTGAATAACTCTTCGCCCAGCACTACCGCCAGAAGAACCATTGTGATTTGGAGCAAGGGAAGTAGATGAGGCACTACATCCAATACGTCTTCGAATTGATTGGGTACTTGAAATATTTTTAAAATTTAAATCTGTATTCTTAATATACCGAGCAAAATTTATAAGCACCGAATCTTCATCAATCAAATTTTCTGGGTGTTGTGAAAGATATCTTTTCCATAAAGCATCTGTTATTTCTGTACAATACATCACTCCAGCATGGAGTGCTATCATTCTAAGCACCAAAACTCCATCTACCTTTCAAAAAATATATTAGAAAATCTATAGAAATTCATAATATTTTTTTCAAAAATGATTCACAATCCAAGGAAAGGACCATTCATTTGATATATGAGAGATTACGGTAGCTCGTGTTTAGGGGTATTTTTAAAGGTAATACCAGAGGGGATAGGAATTCGAAATATAGTGACCCCATTAAATTCTTTCTATTATTTAAAGAAACCTTTAAGTAGGCCTTCAAAAAGTGTTCAACTTGCTTTCTCTTCTCCTTTCTAAAAAGCTCAGGACGATCTGGATCGGAAGTAAGCTATAACGATTTACTTTTCAAAAATATTTTCCTCAAAAATTACCTCCAAATGTCTCAAGACAAACCGAAACCTATCTCTATGAAACAAAGAAACACTAAACCAATATAGTCCATCAAACAGAGTTATAAAAAATAGAATACAGAACCAAAGCCATAACAAAATAAATATTTTTTCGTTAAAAATGTTGATAACTAATACACACTTTAAAATTTGATTTTTTTTTTAATTTTAATTTAAAAATTGCCTGAACAGAGTGTCTTTGAATATTTCCCAAAACTCTGACTTCGAAATCACACTAAAAATAATTTTTGAATTTAATAATAAAGAGATTATTAATAAATTTATACCAAAGTAACACGAGGGAAGTTGCCTAAAATTATTTAATTAAGACAATGAATCAAAGGATCACTTGTTATTAGCTATTCATTAGATTAGATACTACTCGATTTAGGATACAAGATAAAAATCAGGGTGACCCTAGGTGGGTCCTTCAATATAATAATTTTTTGTGATTCAAGGTATAATCAGGGGTATACATATCACAGGCATATCAAGTGGGGGCAGATTAGTTTACTTATGTTTCATTATTCTATTTCACTATCAGTGAATTTTTTTTAAAATTTCCAAATTAAATGCCTGATTGTGTCCATGACTTGCCAAGCAGTAACAAATCATAAAGGACACCAAGGCCATAAATACTGTAATTATTAGTTTCTAGGAATTTATTTACAAGTAATAAATTTGTGAGAACATTTCCAACATAAAATACTTTTGTTGCCTTTAAATTATAGTAAAAATTTAAAAAATTGTGGCAAAAATATTAAATTACTAAATACATTCCAGTCACGTAGCTTTCATAATAACGCAGATTAAAGCATTTAAATACCCGATGAAGTGTGTATTGAGTGCGGGATGTTGCTGTATGTTGGTACCTTTAAAGTTAATTTTTTAAGAACGTTTTGAGCCAAAAACGGCAGCATTCTTAGTAAGAGATAGGATTTGTATATCCACAAGTCAAAAAAGTGATATCTCGAGGATCAATTTTAGGATAATCCTGGTTTACGAAGAAATCTTGTCAACAACCGATATCTATTCTAAATGACAATATTTTTCAAACAACATAAATCATTTTAAATTGGTTAAGCTACTCAGTTGATCGCTGTAAAGAGCTCTTGGGGATAAACGAGAGTCTGGGAGGGGGGGGGGGTGAAAAGGGGGCCTTTGTTATCATACCCTCATCAACACAGGGTATTTTTTTAATTTATCCAAACCTTAAAGCTGCTTCGATATGCCTAGCAAGTGATTCAATTGTTCTCATTCCTTAAATCCAATAATCAGAATTATAATATATTAATTATAAACTATATTCTGGTTCAATATTCTCCTTTTCCGTTGCCATTTGTACAATATCATTTAAACGGATACCTTTAAGATTTCTCAAAATTTTCCAAAAAGATTTTTTATAAGAAAATACCCACCAGATTTATCACTCATTAACCTCCAAATTAAACATGGGCCATAAAACAAAAAGGCTTGGATGAGCAAAAAGAAAGGCACCCATTGGTAATAAGAGATTTTACGGTAATCTCTTTCTGCAATCTCTTCGGGGATGTCTTCGTCTACGGGGACGAAGTAAGTATTTTCTGACCTTAATTCAGAAAAATTTTTCTATTAAGTTAGGGTTCTTTTGTTAATTTATCTTGACAGAAAATATACTTGCCAGCAGAACATCTCGGTGTAGGCCTCCCATGAAGAGGTAAATTGAGCAGGTACCCAACATTCAAGGGGACGACCTCCAAACTAATTTTTAAATTATTTTTAAATTAATCGCCCTTTCAAAATCACCTGTTTAAAACTAACTAAAACAGCCATCATAATTAAAAATGAGGAGGTGTAAAAATAGGAAAGACGATCAACAAGGTCGTCGTCCTTAAAAATATTATTATTTATTCAAAATTCAAAAGTGCTCCTCACTTTTTGATAGCGTAGAAATGAGAGAGCACCAAACATATTTTGAAGAATCATGGCGCCTAGCTCAAAGATAGCCGCTTGTTGATAATGGGATGTTTCGCGTCCGTGTGCTCCGCCTAAGAAAATTTTTTTTAATTTTTCATTATTGTAGGTTGATTGAGAGATTATTATACTCAGAACCTCCTTATGAATACTTTACTGAGTATTTCATAATGTGAGACGGGTAGGTTTAATTGCATTAATTTCGGGTATATAATACCACCAGCCTCTCAAAATTTCGAATTTGCACACACGTGTACCTCATGCAGCTCTTATTTTGGCCTAATACTCCTATTAACTTTCGAGACAACTACGAAAACAATATGGCCTTTAAATAACTGATACCAAGTTCATTATATTTTAAAAAATATCCAACATTAAAATATAAATTTAAAATTATTTGAATACCCAAACAAATAACAAATCTGCAGCACCTTTATTTCGCTTTTTATTATGTAGATGATGCTTTGATTGCCTCAATGCCGAGGCCGAAGGCCACAATGGCATATATAAATAAAACACACAAGTTGAAGATTTTGGGGAGGATATTCAAAAATTTTATAGTTAAATATTTGGTGAAAATTGGGAAAAATAGAAGAAGGAGAGGATTTATAAAATAGGTGAGAAAGACTTGAAAATTATTAAGTTTGAAAATTCTAGTTAAGGAAATTTTTTACAAAACTTCAAAATATCTTGTTATCTCACTAGTAGAGACTCGGTATTATCGAAATTTCACTGGCGATACATTTCTTTAGATCCCTTCAAATGTTCTTGCGGCTCCAAAAAGATTTTGGCAGTTCCGGGGGTCAGGCAAGAGAACGTGGGGTTCCGGGAAGTTCCCGGAATTGTTTCTCGAACCTGGGTCGCTACCTTGCTTCGATACTAACAAACCCTCACTACTAGCATCATTCGTTGATAGCGATATATCTTCAGTTCCCTTATATTGTTCTCAGTGTTCCGAAAATTATCGCGGGTTCCTCGGTCCCAATCCCGAGAACCCTATTTCCTAGAATCATTTCCTGAAATCGGGTCGCTACTTAACTTTGCTACTAACAATAAAATTGACTTTATTTTTCTAATAAAAAGCATATTTATAAAAAAAAATTTTTGAGTTAAAGCATGAAAATAATGAGAGAAGCTAATTTCAAAGCAAATAAAAGTATTAATGAAAGAATTCAAAGAAAAATGGGGAAGTTACTTTATTAATAGTGACAGTCCTCAAAGTCTGTCAATAATAAAAAGCTCTAATTAAATTTAAATGTACTCTTTTATTGCGTGAAAAAAGCGGAAATACAAAATTTTATTAAAATTTAAATCGATTTAAACGGAAAAAGAAATTTATTTTTGAAAAATACTATTAAAAATATACACGTGAACACATCTTTTTAGTACAAGATTAATTTTCTAGCCAATTTGACACACCGGATTTGGAGAAAAATGAAAGGGAAACTGAAAGGGGAATTAGTAAAAGTGAGAGAAAAGTATCAAGAAAGGAAGCCAGTAAATAGAGGAAGATGCATAAAAGTAAAGCCGGATTAATTGTGTGTGAGAGAAAAAAGGCTTGTTATGAAAAAACTTTATTATTATTTAAAAAATATTTTTTTATAAGCAATCCCGTGGGTTTATAAATAATTTACTATTATTTTTCCTATGGGAAAATCAATTAAAATATGCCAGCTTTCAATAATATTTTTTCTAGAATTTTTAAAAATCATGCTAATATTTTTATGTTTATTTATAACTCACACAAAAAAAGTTTTTATTTTTAATGCCTATTAATAATAAGCAAAGCATCTAATTAAATAGGCCCGAATCCCATTGTCCCCCGACCCGAAACATGACCATATTTTACTCCTCCGAATAATCTGAGACCCCCGTACAACAACACAATCGTTCCGATCGTTCGGGTTACAACATTAGCGAGGAGTGACTCTCGAAAGTAGAAAAAATAAATCCCATTAGAGCCCGGACTGGGAGTGTCGTACAATTGATCTCAAAAAAATATCAAACTTGATAACCGAGATTTGATCTCGTCTCGGTCCGTGCTCTATACATTACATTAATTCTAATTTAGCTACTTTAAAGGACCTGCTATAAAGGAGTTATTTAATCTTGCTACATCCCTTGGTACAATTATCCTTCGTAGTTGCTTTAATACTAGAAAACCTATCAATTATGCTTTATTTATTTCCCAAAATTTAATTAATTGTTCGTGTTTAAATAAAAAATTAAGATTTCCTAAAATAGAATGAAAAGCTGTAAGTAATTGATAGCAACATAAATTGAAATTTGAGGGGTAAAGAGCAGAAATTTTTTTCTAAAATTAGAAAAACGAATAAATTTGTGTTAAATTGAGATTACAATTTTATTTCATTTTAAATCCTTTTGTTAAAGAAATTCCGAAAAAATTTATTACAGCAAAGGAATGAAAGATTGGACGGGAATAAATGGGATTTGAATGAAATATTTTGGAAATAACTGTTTAGTGTTGAAAATAAAATATCATTTTTTGATTTATGCTTAATAAATTACCTAAATTCTTTAGATTCCAAAGAAGCTTTATTTTTAAGTGCAAAAAAAGCAAAATAAGTATTGACTATAAACCGGACCGAGACGAAATCTCAAACAAAAATCTCGAGATATCTCATTTCTCTAGATATCTCGTACGACTCTCGTACAACCTTCCCAGTCCGGTTTCTAGTATTGACACACCTACCATATCAAAATGTTAATAAGTTTAAGTAATGACTGAAAATGAGAGGCTGAGAGGATTAATATCATTCCCCTTATAATAATCAACCTTACGTAGAATGAGAGATTCTACCGTACCCCTCACTAGCACACCTCAATGGCACCCTCAATAATCCTCAGAATCTAACGCTTTGCCCTTCTACCAAATTAAAGTTTTCATATTTCCTTACGATGAGTTCCAAACTGTAACGAATTATGAAAATGTCCAGTAGTTGAGGCTTGTAAAGCTGCAGAACTTCCAAAAAAGGGCTTTCTCATTATTAATTAAATTAAATGGGAAAAATAAAGGCAATAATAATAGCAATTTTTTGATAATATAAACATTAATAATTATTTTATTCATAATTTTCATCACTTAAGCATTTTACTAAAAATCGATATTTTTTAGAATTTTCAAAAAAATTTTCAAAAAAAACAATAAATCAACCAGAATTATTTATTGAATTTTTCAGTCAAAAAGGCTGACAGGAAATAGATAAAGCAAGAAAAAGGGCAATCTATTACACTTTACTAGGCAAAAATGCCGTGGGTATACCATCCAATTAACTGGGAAATATTCGCGCAGCTTAGAAAAAATGCCGCCTTTTGATGCGTGCCGATATTTTTCTTTCATTTTCTATTGATTTCTACAAGGCTTTAAATGGCAAAAAATAAATAAAAAAATGAAATTTTGGAATATTAAATTAATAAAAAAAATATTTTTTAATTAAAATAGCAACACTATTCTTGAAAGAATTTGGCTAAAAATAGCTCTAGAAATGTTGGAATAATTAATTAAAAATTAAAAAATTGCTAACAAATTAGGTAATCTATTGTCCTAAATATTAAACGAATTTGTGTGTTTTTGTTAAAATTCTTAGAAAAAATATTTTTGCGCAACAATTTAGCAAGAAATAAATTTACAAGGTATTCGTGACCATTATTTTTAAATTTTTGTGAAAATAAAGGTTACTCAATTGTAAAGTTTAAAAGAAACATTGCTAAGGAAACATAAAATAATTACGAAAAATACTATTAATTTTAAGTTAATAGGTAAAAAAGTCGGCTTTCAGTAAGGGAGGGAAAGGTATAATTAAATTTATCTAAATTTAAATTTAGCTATAATCGCTTAATTAAAGATTCTCTTATTTGAGGCATCAGAGTCATAGTATAATATTAACCTAATACTTAATTAAAGCTTCGATTTTTTTCCTGGCCCATTTCTAGCTAATGATATTCCCAAAAAGAGATACTCGGTAATTTAAAATCACCCTGTTCACTCGGTAGAATTGAAGTGGAAGAATTGAAACGGGCCAAGTTCTAGATCAGATTCTCAGTCGTTTTAAACTAGTACGAGCTAATAAATCTTATAAATTAGTCCAGAAGGCTTGGACACTAATAGGATTCCCAAAAAAAGATACTAAATAAATTAAAAAAGCTCGATACTTGGTAACCTTGAATTGGAAAGGATCAAAACGGGCCAAGTTCTAGATTAGACTCCTGGCCTGTACAAAATAGTTAGAGATATTAACACTTATAAAATGGTTCAAAAAACTTTGACTTATCTCAAATTATGCCCAGAAAAATAAAAATGACGATTCTCAATAAGAATCATACCTTTACTCCTATAATAACACCAACCTTTTCCGTGTGCCTGTTGGCCAAAGCGAAATGCCATTAATTCATTGGCAGTGCCAACGAAGTAAAGAAGGAGGAACATTTAAAGGGAGAAGGTGACAGCAACGATTTAAAGCCAAAAATAGAAGAGACAATGACAATTAATGCCAGAAATGAATGAGGTACGATGCTGCTCATTTTAAGGTTGAATAAATGAGACGAGAGGCTTGTCAAGTAGAAAAAATGCTGCAAATTAAAGCAGTGAAGTATTAAAAAGGAGATGGAAAATTAATTTAATGTAGTCGGAAATAGAATTATTTTTTTAAAGCTTGAGAGCGGAAGTTTCAGTTAGAATTTAATTTTTATTATTAAATTAATGAATTAATTTTTAATTATTTTTCAGAAATATCTTGTTGTTTAATTGTCAATTAAAAATTAATTTTTTTTATTGTTCACTGTTGTATTTATTTTTCTACAACACTTAATTTATATTAAACGTCACCTTTAGTTTTTAAATTTTAAATATTATTTGAATAAATTTGAAAAATGTGGAATAATAAATTAAATTTATAGACAATATTTTGATTTATTTTACCAAATAAAAGGAAGAAAAAGTTAAGTAAAAGTTGCGGAGGGATTTTTGCTTCCTTATAAAATCCCTAGACAATAACACTGCTTCCTAGCGAATAGAACAAAGAAAACGGCCGTCAAAGCGTTCACACATAAATATTCTTAAAAAATTTATTTTTTATTGTTTTAAGACTGTGCTGAATATTATATTCAAGACAAAAAATTTTGGGAAAAAATATTTTCGAGAAATCGAAAATGAATTAAGCAGAATCCCTCATTAAGTAGAATTAAGTATGTAGAATCCATAAGAGGGATGGGACGTGTTACCTGAAACCCGACCTTTTTTCGATCCGAACCCCGACCCGAGACCCGAAGCCCGTTCTTTTTTTCTACCCGCAACCCCGATCCGAAACCCAACACGACTTTTTTTTCTCAACCACGTCCCATTCTGATATAAAACCTTTGATATATTTGAATCAGAATCTTCATTAGAATCCCACGTTTTATTATCTAATCTATCCAAGTTCACTAGTTTTAAACAAGGAAGTTGTTCCTTAGATATACAAGATGAAATAAAATGTCATTTGTAATAAAATAAATTTAAAAAATTTAATTGGATGAGACATAAAGGATATGAATATTGACAGCTATCCCTTTTTTCAAATGAAAAAATTATAAAAAATTATGTCTAGAAAATGGAAATATACGCTTAATACAAATATTATTAGTTAGGAGAATATTTGAATCACAATTATTCTCCAAAATTCCAGTTGAAAAAATTAATCGGGTTCAAGCAGTACTTGGTGATGTACCGGATTTTTAATAATGTCTGTTAAAGCGATATCAATAGGCATTCTTAAGAGAGCCTAATTTGAACCGAGATATAAAAATACTATTCAAACACTAAATTTCTGATAAATATATTAGCCCCCCTCCCCCCATATAGACCCCCTCCAATACACTAAATAGTAAAAATAAAAAATTATGGAGTAAAATAATATAAAAAATTTTTTATGGATTTATTCATAATCTCATGGAAAAATAAAGCAATGTCTGAATTGGCCCAGAATTAAAAAGAACAAGTACCCAGCCATCAAACGAAGAAATAAAGAAAAAATAATGTGCCATATCGCTGTTGCTGTAAAAAATGCCGCGCGAGCCAAAAGGAAAATTTTTTGTCGTCGAAAGCGTTTGTGAGAAAAAGCTGTGGGGAAGGAGTAAATGAAAAAGTAAGAAAAAAGGGAAGTGGGCACGCAATTGTATCTGGCAATAAATGTGGTAATCCTACAAAGGAAGAGCCGTTTTTTATTTTAAATATAATATCCAAACTCAGGGTGAATAAAAATAGTAAAATTCTTATACAAACTTATTTTAAAATATTTCGTAGTAATCGGAAATTTTAATAAAGACCACTCAACCGTCTTGATTCTTGACCTTGACTTTAAGCATGGACCTTGACCCGATGCTTGACCTTGGGCAAGGAAAAATAGAGGTCTAGGAATAATCAAGGACGCTGAAAAACGCTCTTGATCTAACTGGATCCAGGAAGAAGGTCTGTATCCAGATCCAGGCCGATCTATAGTATGTTCCCTATGTGACGTTTTTGAAACATTTATGTGTAACTGAAAAAGACAAGTGACCGGACTTTCTCCTCCTGACCGGACTGGAGGAGAGACGGATCGAATCTAAATAGTTATCGAGATCAAGAGATTATCAAGTTATCAAGTCCATTCTCCGGTTATCAAATCTATGTATTCTCTATTTAATGCTATCCCTATTCCCAATATTTCTAAACATAGATTCTTAAAGGAAAAGTACATTTTCTTCAATGTTTTATCTCGTTCTGTTATTACAATATTATCCTCCTTTATTAATCAAATCGTTCTGTTATCCTCCTCTATTAATCAAAAATTATTTTAAAAGTCTAGACTCCTAGCGGCTTTAAAAAGAGAAATCCATAGAATCCAACATGATTAATCAATTGCTAATCCCCCCCCCCCCATCAACTCCATAATAAGAGTCGGCATATCAATTTCCCCTTTGATATGCCTTTTTGAAGAAGTCTCGTCAATTCATTTAAAAATTTTTTAATTTCATAATTTATTAATAAAAACAATTCATTAATTAAAAAATTTTTAATAAAATTAAATATGGAATTTAAATTATTTATTTTAATTCTATTGTTCTTGATTGCGATTGCAGGTGATGAATATTACTAAATATTTTTAAATTAAGTAAATATTAAAATATTTTTAGATGGCATGGACAATAATTCCAAACATGCTCGTAGTCGTCGTACGAGTAAATAAACTTTTATTTTAAATTAAAGATAATTATTTTAGAAAATAAGGAAAGAGCTTCACATAGTTCCCCGCCTCAAGAAGGACCTTCGGTCCGTAAAAATATGCCTAATCTCTCTTCAAAGGCTACAAACCCTCCGATGCCTTCAAAGTCTTCAAGTAAACCTTCTGGTTCAGCAAGTCAACTGGTTTCTTTGAAAGATATAGACGATCGCTTCAAGAATTCATTTAATGAAGGGGACGCCTTAAACACTGAAGAAGCTTCGGATAATGATAAGAAAACTAATTATTACATGTATCAGTTTTTCTAGACTTGCAAATGTGATATTTAATTCAATTTCCTATTATTTTATTCTTTTATTTTAAATTTTTTCTTCGGATCTTAACCAAAATTTGATTTGTTTTAAATCGAACTCCTTTATTCTATAAATTTTCAAAAATCTTTCATAAAACCGTTGTATTCTAATTGTTAAAAATAAATTATTTTATTATTAGTTTGAATTATATTTTATGCTATAAAGCTTTTGTAGTGTGTTATTAATTTTGTGCCGATTTTGTCATAATCAGTTGAGATTGGTCAGTGACGAGAGTTTGGACGAAAGGATAGATCTTATCAAGACGAGAGATTTATCAATATCAAGATATCAGACTTATCGGTTCTCAAACCTAGGGTGTCGGTTTTACCTGATTCACGGGGTTTTACCTGATTCAATCTTCGGGTTTTCGCTGAAGTTCGGTTTGAAACCTACTCAAAACCGTTCTCTAGTTTTTTAACTTTAATTTTAAAAGTTTTTTGAAGTTTTTATCTTTTACTTCGATTTATTGTCAACCCGCATCTCTCAACAGACTAAATCCAATTTAAATTATATGTAGAATCCTCTCCTATTAATCAAAATCTCTTGTTAAGGATCTTGAAGATCTAAACTCGATAGGGCTTTGAATCTAGACTTCAAAAGGCTTTAAAAAATAAATCCATAAATGCCAACAAGATTAATCAATTAATGCCCTTTTCACTCTTATCCTCTCTTTCCCATCCCCTCTCCCCAATCCCCTCTCCCTCTCCTCTCTCCTCTCCCCTCTCCCTCTCCCTCTCCTCTCTCCTCTCTCCTCTCTCCTCTCTCCTCTCTCCTCTCTCCTCTCTCCTCTCTCCTCTCTCCTCTCTCCTCTCTCCTCTCTCCTCTTTCCTCTCCCCTCTCCCCTCCCCTCCCCTCCTCTCCCCTCCCCTCTCACCCATGATTATTGGGCATGTTAATTACCTCTCCTCTAAATATGCCCTTTTTGACAGGCTATACAACAGTCGTTTAAAAATTAAAAAATTTCATAATTCATTAATATAAACAATTTATTAAAAATTTATAAAATTATGAAATATAAATTATTTATTTTGTTTGTATTTTCACTGATTGAGATTGGAGGTAAAGAGTCTTTACTAAAGACTGGATTAAAAATATTTTTTAAATTACCTATAATATTTTTAGATTGCATGGATGACCATAATTCCCAACGCGGTCTCCGTCGTCGCCGCAGTTAGAAAATTTTTTTACTAAATTTAAAAATAAAGATTTTAGAGTATAAACACGATGATTCACCTGTTTTACCGCCTCAAGTTGGCACACCGTCAAAGGCACAAGTTGGCACATCCAAACATGTGCCTAAACGTAAACCAGCTTCTCCAAAGCCTCCAAACCCTCAGATGCCTTCATCACCTCTACCGAAACCTGAAGAAACTCCGGTTTCTTTGAACGAGATATGCGATGCTTTTGGTGTTCCGTTTGAGGCGGAGAATGCTTTGCGCCAACAAAATTTTAATGCACTTGAAGGACCTTCTCAGGCAAAAATTTCTATAATTTTAAAATTTTTATTTTGATTTTATCAGGCAATTTTTATGATTATTAACGAATCTATAATAATTTAAAATAAATAAACATATTTTAGCACAAATCGAATATTCAACATCCTTCGGATAAGGATGCGGAAGATGATTATCCCGATGTTTAGAATTGTAGAATGGATATTTTTATTCTATATTCGTGGATTTTATTTTTAAATCTTTTTTACTTTCAAGTTTTTTCTTCGGATTTAAAGCAAACATGTGATTAACCTCTATTCTAGGGTTGTTTACTATCGGTTATTAACCGGTTCCCCCGGTTTTCAGTTCCGGTTTATTCGCCGAAAACACCGGTTTTCAGTTCCAGTTCGGTCGACCGTTTGTGTCCAACCCTATTTTATTTTTAATTTTTAAAAATTTTCCATTAAGCCTTACATTAGAATTGTAAATTATTACATTTAAATTAAATTATTTCACTATTAGTTTAAAATATTTTCTCATGTCATAAAACTTTTTAAATTCTTTATTTAATTTAAACAAAGCAAAACAACTGATGCTTTATTGTCATTGCAATATTACAAGATTTTAATTTACTTTTGCTTTAAATTTACATCAAAACTTCCCTCAATAATAAAATGTATTTACTAAACATAAAATTAAACTTTCTTCTAGTTTTGTGATTGTTAAACAAGTATATTTGTCAAAACAATAGTAAAATTAATAACCCTCAGAAATTCCTCCCTTTTCTGATCCCTTTGTTTCAATAAAATAGGGTCCAATATTTAGGGTGGTCCTCCTAAATTCCATGCGCGCCGACATTCTTTAGCTTTATCAGGTTAACTGTTTATCTAGCCTTTTATGTAGTCTTTTTTTGTTTTAAAAATGCCTAATATCCGGTGAGGTCTTAAATCCCGTTGGTTCCTAAGTTGATTGAGTAAGTTCCTAAATTCCTAAGAGCTAAGTTCCTAAGTTATTCTTAAGTTCCTAAGAGCCTTACCAGGATGCTTGTTTATGTATCAAAAGTTTACCTATGCTATTTGTGCTTGTTTAATATTTACCTTTTTATTCACTATTAGATTATATCCATGTAAAGCTCAAAACATAACTTTCATAATAAAATCTGGACCATATTTTTATTTTTCACATTTTTCACGTCATTCCCATCCTTCTTTAATTGCCAGTCTTCCATCTTTTTTTTATTTATTTCTTAATGGAAGGAAATATGGTTTTAGTAAACTAATGGCCATTATAGCTTTTGGACATTGGGCAATAAAAAAAAGGAAAACTGGAGGGACATAAGGTAAAAAAATATTTTTTCCTCATTGACCTGGTTGGAAGCTTTTAACTTTTGCTCATTCATCAAAGATTCTCCCTTCTAAATCCCTTTTTTCCTCATTTCCTCTTTGCAGGTTGTTTAGGGGAAATATTCTCTGGAAAAAAAATTTTTTTAATTTTTTTATTAATTTTTTTAAAAATAATTTTTCGAATCAATCAAAAATTAAAAACAATTTTCAAATAAAATTTACCCTAAAAACAAGATGTCAACAATAGTTGACAGTTTTGGCCAAACATTTCCTCATGTTCAATTTCGTGAGAATAATCATCACCGTTCTCCTTCCAACGTCCAACAACTCAGTACAAATCTAAACGGGGCAGTAGCTACCATTAATAATGGAAAATTAAAGAGTTTAACACCTCCACAAATGTATGAATTGGATAATACAACTGTGGTTAATGAAGAGTATAATGGTTGGAAAAAAGTTATTTTAAAATTCTGATATTTCTGTCCAGGTTCAGCTCAAACCAACTCCCCTCCAAATAAAGTGCCAGCTGTAACTAATGGAAGAAGCAATACTAATGGTACTAATGGTGTGGCCAATGCTTATGCTATGGATGCTTTTACACGAAAAAAGTAAAAATATTATTCAATAAATAATTCTTTATTTGAACAGCATGCTTATCAGGGCTGTGCGTCATGGCGTTTGGCGTTTGGCGTTTTGCGTTTTGGCGTTAATTTTGGCCGATTTTTGGCGTTTTGCGTTTGGCGTGATTTTCCGATTTTGGCGCGCCAAACGCCAAAAATATACACCCCTAATGATGGAATTTTTTTAAAATAAATGGAGAAAGGGATGATCGAAAAAGGAAATTTTTCTGCGTACAGTCATCCAAAATTCTCAAAATTTTTGCCTGCGGCGCATAAAAAATGAAGAAATCTACTGCTTGGACTTCCAAAATTTTCAAAATTTTCGCCTGCGGCGCTTAAAGGAGGAAGCCCTTATCTTAAACTAATAGATGGTAGAAAAAAACTTTAGTCCCGTCAATCGTTTACTCTCTTCATGAGCTCTGTTATACTCATTACTCGCTTTATCCCTTCATATCCACCTTAATCTCAAGAAGTTCTATGAATTTCTTATTTTTTTAAATTTTTTAAAGGATGAATTTCGGCTTCTTTGCCTCCAAAATTCTCAAAAATTTCGCTCCGGCGGTAAAAAAGGATGAATTCTGGCTTCTGGGAATCTTGAAAATTCAAAAAATTTCGCCTGCGGCGCTAAAATGAGATGAACAGTGGTTTTTAAGTCTTTATAGACACTAAAAATTTTGGCGTTTGGCGTTTGGCGTTTTGGCGTTGATTTTGGCCGATTTTTGGCGTTTGGCGTTTGGCGTGTTTTTAAAATTTAAAAAATTGGCGTTTGGCGTTTGGCGCGCCACGCGAAAATTTTGGCGCACAGCCCTGATGCTTATTTTCCATATAGGGGATGTTTTACAGTCAATATTTTTATAAAAATATTTTTATTTCTATAAGATTTATAGATCCTTTCTATATCTGCTATTTTTACTTATGTCTTAAAGAAATATGGAAACCCTTAATTTTGATTATAAAAGATTCACTGAACAGATCCATTACCATGATTTAGTAGAACGAATAGTTAAGATACCTCTTACTGGATCCATCTTATGATCCACAAATTCAAGGCCAAAAACAAGTAAGTTACCCTGAAAAATTTCTCGATCTTGTGTTAGGATACGGAAAAAATTAATGTATTATCCAGCAATCCAGAATTTATCTTCTATTTTATTTCAGAGGCTTACCATGGGTCCTAGCTTCACAAATGTTTCTTATCTTCATCCTTGTTTTTGTGATTGGGTTTTTGCTTTACAAATTGTACTTATTTGATGAATATAATAAAGAGGATAGTTTAAATTTACAGAATGTAATTAAAATATAAAAATTTTAAAAATTATTTTTCGATTCTCAGATTAATTGTATCCAACCCCCTACGCTGGAATTAAATTCACAAGTGCCAGAAAATGCCCCTCAAAAAAGTTTTTCTGGGCATTTTAAAAAGGCAGCCGTTGTAAGTGATAATGTAATCTGTTCGGAACTTGGCCGGTTTCGTTTGATTTTAGAAAAAATATTTTTACTAATTTTAAAGTAATGTTTTGTTACGTGGAGGTAATGCTGTAGATGCAGCCATTTCTGTGTCTTTTTGTATTGGAGCTTTAAATTATCCTTCTGGCGGATTAGGAGGGGGCTTTCTGATGACATTCTTTCGCAGGTGATTAGACTGAGATAAACCTTTATCCCCAAAAATTTTCAGATTTGATGGCAAATGTTTAACCATCGATGCTCTCGGAATAATTCCTTCCCTAGCAAATAATGATACGAATCCGATTGAGAATGGTATTTTGAAATTGTTAATTTTTAAAAATTTTAAATGAAGGTTATAAATCTATTTCTGTCCCTGGAGAATTACATGGTCTCTGGACAGCTTACAAGCGTTTTGGAAGTGGAAGGATTACTTGGAATAATTTGATAATGCCTACAGTTCATTTACTTAATGAAGGTGAAATTTTAGAGAAATTTAGTTTACTTTAATAATGGAAAAGGAGTTGGACAGGGATTAAGACCTGTTGAACCAGAAACGGCACTTAAATCCGGGCAACGGTTCTGAGGTCTGAACTTTCTCTTTCCTGATTACTGAGACGGCCTTATAAATTTTCTGATTGATACCTAATTTTTGTTTTATTCTCAACAGGATTTCCAGTCACTCAAGCACTCGAAAAACTCTCAAAAGAATTCATGGTTAAGTTTGCCAATGAAACAAATAAAGATATAAGGTTTCTATATTTTGAACATCCCTATACTTTTTAAAATTTTCATTAAAGAAATTTATTTTTAAACCCAACAAACGGTGATCATTACCGTGAAGGACAAATCATTCGTAATCCACAGCTTGCAGAAACTTTAAAAAAGCTTGCATTAACTAATGACCCTATAAATTTGTTTTATGGAAATAATGGTGCTATAGCTAAACAAATTGTTGAGGAATTTGCTCAAAATGGTGATGAAATGTTTAATACAAAACTAAATTTATTTAAAGGTGCCTTTGTAACACGGAAAGATTTGCATAGCTACAGAAGTGTTATTGATGAACAGCCTTTCCTCAATAGCTATTCTGACCAGAAACTGGTTTTTTGTGGTCCCAAATCTTCCTCAGGCTTTGTTAAAATTCAAATGCTGCTTGCTATTTTGCAGAGTAATTTTTAACTAATATTAAGGAATAGACATATGTGATTAATAATTTGGCATGATAACGAGCTCTTGGACGGTTTTATTTCTAATTGTTAAGATGAATATAATTAATTATTATATCTCTTTAAAAATATTCCTTTAATTTAGAATTAAGTCCAAACTCGGAGAATATTACTTTGATCAATACTGAATATTGGCACAAATTTATTATGGCACAAAATTATATTAATACCGAATTAGGTAATACATAGTTTTAAAATTTAATTTTTTAATCCCTATCGTTGAAATTTAAGTAAAATTAGATTCTGAAGATCAACTGAAAATATTATTACAAAATATAACTCAAAATGGATTTATTGAAAATATTATTCAAAAATTTGGGGATAATTCTTTAACGTCTGAAATGCCTTTTAAAGAGGTTTCAAAAAATTTTTTGATTTTTAAAATCAATTTTTAAAGGAATTTTCAAGCCTAAATGAAGAGGATCTTGAAATTGGTAGTTCCCAGATAAATATTGTAGATTCTGATGGAAATACAATTTCTGTTGCTCATTCAATTAATTCCCCGTAAATTTTTTAAATGAGAATTTCTCATAAAAATTTTTTTCTAGTTTCGGTTCTTTACGTCGATCACCAATTTTGGGCATTTTATGGAACAATAATTTATTTAATTTAAACAATTCTTCAATAAACAATAGACAAATTTCACCGACAAGTCCAATAATTGTATATGACAGGGAAAGTAGAAAGGTGAAAAATTTTAAAAATTATCATATCTCTATCATTTAACAGATAAAACTTGCAATAGGCGCAAGTGGAGAAACATCCCTTCAAAAATCTTCCACTTTAGCTCACGTCTTATTTCAAGTTCTTAGCTTTAACAAAACTTTGAGAGAAGCGGTTGATATGCCTAGATTATATAAAAATCACCATGGTATCAGTTATGAGTCAGGGTTTCCAAAGGTGAATTTTTTTTAAATTATTTTGGTGAGACGGAGTTTGGTTTATTAGTGATCTCTAGAAAGAGACCAGTCTCAGTCAAGTCTCTAACTGACATTAGAGACTGGATCGAGACTGAGTTACTGTCCATTCTAAGCGAAATTAGAGACCAGACCTAGAAAAGATCTCGGTTATCGTGATCGATATTTTTATGAGATACAATCTCAATTTAAAAAATTCCCTTCTTTCAAACTATAAAACTTCAAATAACGTTGAAGACTTTAAGCATTTTAAAAGTACAATATTAAGTTTGTCACGCAATGTGACAAAGTCTCTCATTAAAAAAATTTCAACTCAAAAAATTTTTTCTAGATACTTGTTGAAAATCTAAACAAAAATGCTTTAAATTAAACAAAATACATTATTCTTCAAGTTTATCATTAAATGGAATTTTACGAGAAGGTGATGGCACTTTGTCGGCTGTCAATGATTATAGAGTTGAAGCTAATAATTATCCCTCCGGATATTAAATTTTTAAAGTTTTTGAAATATAATAATTATTTTTTTTAGTTTCTTATTAAATGTTATCTTAGTTTCTCTAATAGAATTTAAGCCCTTTTCCTCTAGTTTTTACCGTAAAACCTACAATTTTACCATGTTTTGCTTAGCATTTGATACATTCACAAGTAATTGCTAATGGTTTTCATGAGTCACACACGTTGGGTTTGTCCCGAAGCTTAATTTAATTCCCACAACATAGTATTGGATTCGATACTGATTTGATAGATTCTATTAGAGAGAATACAGTTTTGCTAGAGCGGTTCATAAGTACATAGTTCGTTTTTCTGTTATCTTAGAAAATGTCTATCTTTATTTATCATCTACATACTTACTTTAAAAAATAATTCTTCGAGTTATGTCTTTAAATTTTTGCATAAATTTGTACGAACCCCTATGGACCACCCTAGAATACTTATCTTTAAATTAAATTTATTCTCGTTAAGTTAAATATTATTTTTTTTATTTTTAATTAGCTTAATCCAAAACTTTACTTCCCAAGCTAAACCAAACTACAATTCTTAAAAACTTTTTAAAAAAAAATTCTTAAACCCCAAGATCTCTCGCCCATTTCTGAATTTTTCTAATTAATAAAATTTTTCAAAAAAATTTTTAAACTTGTTTTTTTCACATTATTTATGATAAATTAACTCAAATTTTTCTATAGCAACCAATAAAAATTAGATTTAATTGGCACTTTATTAAGTTTTTTTCAACACCTCTTACTTACTTGCACATTCTTTTTAATAATTATAATATAATGCACCTGCCATCGTTCTTCTAATAATATTCTCAATAATAAATAAAAAATTATTTTTGAGTTTATTGCAGATCCAAATTATTTTTTATTTTCTATTTAGGTATTTTTAAGGCATTATATTCTTTAATATTTAATTTTAATTAAATAATAATAGCTAAATTATTTTTAAGTATATAATTAATTCTAATATTATTCTTTATTTAGAACACACAAAAATTAATTATTATAATTTACGGTTATATTAAGTTATCTTTAATTTTTCATTATTGCAGATATTGTTTATGGTAGGGTTGTTCATTACCGATTATTAACTGGTATCCGTTCAGTTTTCAGATTTTAAAAACTCGGGGTTTCGGTCTTCAGTTTTATTTAAATTAAAGTTTTATCTTGTGGAATTTCTAATAAAAACCGCTCTTTTACAAAAAATTTCGATTTTCGATTCTTATAAGCTCATAAAAATGGTTTATTTTTGGCAAGAAATATTAAAATTATCAGTTTTAAAATCACTCATAATCAATCCTAGTTATTAGAATATACCTAAATGAGTTTTCCATATATACAAAAATGAATCAAAAAATTAAAAAAATTTTATCCCCCGACTCAGAAAAATGATTAAAAATACTTGTTTCAAGATTTTAACCACCCAACCTAATTATCGATAATAGATGTCAACCCTTAGTTAAACGATAATTTTCAATTTTTCGAAATTTAATTTTAATACGAACCAAGAATTAATTATTAATTACAATTATTTTTCTTTTTTATGCTTAAATGCCATGTTCGAAATTTAGTTTTTTTACCATTTAAAATAAAATAAAATTGTTAGGTGAGTATAAAATTAGTTTTGTTTGCTTCATAAATTTATAAACTCACATTATGTACATATTATTAATTATAAATTTTTGGTTTAATTCAAAATTTTTATTTAAAAATTTAAAAAATTAAAAATTCAATTTCTAATTTTCTTAAAATAAAATAATCTTTTTTAATTAATATCTATTTTAAGTTCGATTAATTTTAGCTCACTAGAAAAATTCAAAAAATGCAAACTAAAAATTGTATTTCACAAATATTTGTCCCTAAATTTCCACGAACAGCTTAGTTTGTTTAGGCCCCAATTTCCAAAATTGGGCCGAAATTGGTTGGCCAACTAATTTTTAAAAATTGTACATATTTAAATTAAGAGCGAGGTAAAAGATTAATCCCGGGCTGGCTTCGATCCTGCGACCTCCTGGCAGCTATTGCTAAGCGCTTTAGCTCACCACGTACAGGAGCTCTACCGACTGAACTGCCGGGACGCTGCTTTCACCTTCTATTTTAATAGAACCTAAACTCTCGCCACATAATTAAAAAATTTTCTTATTTCAAAAAATTTTTCAAGAAAAATGCCATTTTTTGCAAATTTAACAAATGGATTAGTGCTTAATCTAAACCAGCATTATTCACTTTTATTCCTTGTTATTGCTGAATTATTTTGCCATTTTTTGTTAAATTTTCCTTTTGCTGGAGTTAATATTTTGTTAATAATTAAAACAAGCATTTTACATCCAAATTTAAAATTTATTTTATTAACTCAAAGTTTTTGTATTTTTGCGAGGAGTGTTAGTAAGTTTAATATTCGGGTTAAAACATGGGTGGTACGCTATTGTTATTAACCAGCGTTGTAAATTTTCTGTTTTGAATCATGACAATGGGATAGAGTTATGGTCCTAGATTCTTGGCAAATTTGGATATCTATAATTGTTATTAACGGATATCCCCGTTTTTCATTTAATCCGATTTTCTAAACCCGTTCTAGATCTGGTTTTTAATCAGATACGGGTTCGCTTTGGAGAGTAGTTCGGAGTTTTGGGGTCTTAATTCACTTGATTCTTGAAAAATTGGGCATCTCTATGTAGTAGTTATTAACCGATACTTTGGAATTTCAGTTAATACGATTTCCAAAACCCGGCTATGCTTTCTGGTTCTACTCTAATAACGAATAATTTTTGGAGAAAAATTTTTAAAAATCCAAATTTCAGCCAGAAGCATTATGCTTTTAACTATGTTATTCAATGATGATTTAATTATGAGTCCAACACACGAGCTTATCTTTATCTTTAGCTACTTTGCTTACTTTAGAAATGTTATCGCGCATATTTTGGTCATTGAAAGATTAAATGCAACCCTTTCATTTAGAAAATATGAGAGATCACGTGGTCCTTGTTTTACTTTTGGATGGCTATTTTTTGTGGTTTGAGATTTTTTTGAAATTTTTAATGATGGAGAGTAGAGTTATCGTGTCATGGGAAATAACCGAGCAAAAATTTCAGGATATCCTGATTTAATTAAGCTCTATTTCTTAAAGCCATGTAAAACTTTCACTTAAAACAGAATCTGCTCACTTTTGGCACTGTATATGGTACATCAACAACCTCCTCTACAACTTTTATTAATCTCTGCTTTTGGGCAATTATGTTTGTTTTGGCAATTTTAGAGCTGATTGCAATTAAATCTATGAAAAAATATAATGACCAGATATATACATCTCGTTCTTTTATTAATGCCACATTATCAGAACGTTATCAGGTTATCGGCTCTAGTCAACTTTTAAATTTCTTCTTCTTAGCTGGCAGAAAATATCAGAACAACCAAACAACTAATACCCATTTTGGCCATTCACTTTTTCAATATTGCTTTGGGAACTTTTGTTAATTGGACAATCTATTACCAAGCTTTCGGCCCTATCACTACTGGAATGTTTGCATATCAGTTATTCAACCAAATTTATATGTTGATTATTGCTTTCACAAGTTTTCTGATTGAATTGACAATGATTTTGTGAGTTGATACTATTAGAGCTGTTCAAGACTCAACCCCTTCTTATGTTTTCCACTTTATTCTGATCTCATGGTCTTGGTATCCTTTTTAGGTCCTAAAGGTACGTCAGTAGCAAGTCCTGGTCTCGACGTTGCTTATATCTTGGTCTTAATTCTTGATGAAAAATTTCGGTCCTGGACAGCTCTATATCTAGTCTTGGACCCTTTAATTACATATTTTACTTTTCCAGATGCCATCCTTATTTGAAACGGAATTTTGTCGGTTTGGCAATAAAAATACGCTCATTCTTCAAATGCTTGTTAATCTTCAAATTAAGACGGCACCAAGTTGCTCCTACTTCCATTACAAATAATGGATTTGATAGCAATGCTATTAAAAAACGAGCTGTTTCACTAACAAGTGTTCAAGGATTGGAAATGCTCCCTTGTGGCGGGATGAATCAAACCGAAGAATATTTTACACAATTAGCAGTAGCGTGGGCAAGAAGAAGATCAATTAATAATTAAATTTTTAAATTTTATATCACCCGAAAATAAATATATTTTATACAAAATTATTAATTAAAATAAACTGATTGATAATGCATTAGAATGGTTTAAGGCTAAAGAAATTGCTGAGGCTTGTAACTTGAAATCGAATTCCCCTCCCTCGCCAAAGAGGGAGGGGAATCTTCATGCAGTTTTTAAGCTCATGAATGGATTGAATTAATAATTCTTCACCTTAATAATTTTTCACATCCTATCCCATAGATGTGTTCCCCATCACCACGAATGGGTTGAACTATTAATTCCCCGTGGTAATTAATTAAGAAAATATGATAAGTGGATCGTATTCAATTGTAGGAAAAGTTAAGGTAAGTGACTGTTTGAGCATACTATGCTATGAACCATTTGTTGTTCGCCTTTGTCAGTCAGAACAATAGCACCTTGTACTACTTTCAAATGCGGTATCAAATCATCCTCATCCTCCTTCTCATTGTTATTATTATCAATTTGATGGTCTCTCTCATTCCTCTCTCTTGTATAAATGTAATTATTGTCAATAATGTTATTATTCATTGAAAACACATCTGAATCGACATATGGAATCATTCTCATTTGATCATCGTCTAATTGAAAGCTTGGACGTCTTTGACGGAACCAGCCTTCTTGTGGAATCTGAAGATATTTTATAATAAAATTTTGAAGAGTTATAGATAATACCTCTAATAATGCAGGTTTTTCATGGATAGATTCTTCATTCTCTTCAGTCTTTAAAGATAAACTTGGAGATGGGAGTTGGATCTCAACTTCAAAGTCAGAAACATTGCTTATAGAACTTGTATCTTCCTAAAATTTTTCAAGCCTAGTTTTGATCATTTTACTGATAATATTTTAATCAAAAAACCTTAGATCCATCAAAAATCCCCTCAAAAGTATTTGGCAAATCTATTCCACTCTTGACAGCCTCTTCGCGCATTTGACGCATCATGGACTCCTTTCTACGCTTTCCCAATAGTGGAAGTAGTACTTTTGCAAGAAAATTGTGTTCAATTTTCGAAGCATCACCATGCTTATAATTCTCGAGTGTTTGGGTTAATAGTCGTTTATAAAAATCCTCGATGGAGTTCTGTATCACATTTATGCACATTGATACCAATGAAAGTCCGATCATTACAAACACAAAAAATATAAGCATATAGCCTCTTCTAGATACTTTTACGTCTCCAAGTCCAACAGTTAAAAGCGAAATACAAACAAAATATAAGGATTTACTATATGTCCAATCCTTAAATTCAAAATTATTTTTCCAAAATAAACATTAGAAACCTCAACATGCTTAAAAAGTGCCGCACAAAAAAGTACCCACGAAACCGTGAAAGTAATGGCTACAAGAACATGCATTCTTGGCACTTCCTGATCTTCTTGATCATCAGAATTTTGATCCTCTTCTTTGTTTTCATTATGAGATTCATTAATACTTCCTTTAATTAATTATCAAGCTATTTTCCTTATAGTTCAGATAAAACTAGTTCTCATTATGATAGGCTAATAGCAATTGACCACTACGTATAAGGATATATGATACTCGAAGCCTGACACAAGAAAAATTTTTTCCATGAAATTTCCCGCCTTTCTCAGATAAAGTAAGTTAGCTTCCCGAGCCTTCAGGGTCGGTATCATTGGAGATCGGGGTTTGCCGGGGTTTGTGGTTCGGGTAGGGATATACGAAAGTGGATCACAATATTGTTATTTTAATTTTTTCATACGATATAGTAGATAATCCCCGTCATGACTAACCCGTTTCAATCAAATTCTTTGTCAAATTATCTACAGGCTCTGAATCTGTTGTTACTCTCGAAATTTTTTGTAAGTCTTCTGAGGTTAGTGTTGTAGTTGTTCTAGCATCAAAATGATCAAATATTTCCCTCTGCGCAATGCGTTGATCTTTGAAAAAATGTGTGGCTTTGCGTTCAAGTTCTTTTTGTGTCTATATTGAATTTTTTTCTTAATTTTTTGATTAAAATTTTTTACGCTTCTCAAGGAATGCTTGGTACTATCAATAATTTTTGAACGCCTCGATTGCCGTGAGGATTTCTTTGGGGCGCAATTCAGACATAGTCTGATATTATTTAAAAAATATTTTTGCCAATTCTTGTCTAGACAGGCCATTAATTCATTTATTGTTTTGTACAAGAATTTTCCCAGTTCATTTAATGTAATTAACATTAAGGGTATTCCTTCAAAAAATTTTTTTAATTTAAAAGTCAAATTAGATTATTAACCAATGATCGAATAAATTACAGTGCCAATCTGCCCAATATTTGTTTCACATGCAATATCCCCATATCCAATCGTTGTGAAGAGTGTTCCCGAAAAATACCTTTAAATTTTAAATAATATTTGCATGATAACTAGATGAATAGCTCTGATTGGGGAAAATTAAGAACGACTTGTAGGGCAACTTGTAGGATGTATTAAATTTATAATTTTCTAAAAGCTGCTTAAATTAGTTTCATGTACATTTAACCTATCAAAAAATTCTACATGTGATTATTCATGGTTACATTCAGAACATTATTCTTTAGTGTGTTTTCCAACAGATCCCAAAATTATATAATTTTTGTTTGGGTATTCAGGGAGTTTTTGGGCGAGAACATCAAGGGCCCCTAACCCAATGGGATTTGTGATAATTAATGAAGATATTTTTAAAATATAATCCGAAAAAAACACAGATTTTTATTTTAAGTTATGAATTATTTTTTAAATTTCTTTTACAATATTATTTGTAATAAAATTAATAAAATATACATTGCTGTAACAAAAGTCCATTCCTGCTCATTTCTGATTTTATTGCGCTTTTCTTCTTCATCTATATCTGAGTGGAATGATGGAATATCAAGCTGTTCAAATAAATCCTCAACTAAAATACCAAAAAGCTTATTCCTCTGTCCTTCCTCCAAACTCTCATCGTTAAAAGTCAATTTAATATTCGTTAAAAATTCTTTACGTATGAGTTCATAATATTGGATTCTTTTAAATTTTAACTTTTTTTAATTTTATTGCAAATTTTTTTCAATCTTGGGAATTCTGAAAATTTGTATGCCTCTTTTAATCTTCATCCCAACTCTATCACGATAAGTACCCAACATTGCATGTTAGAATATATTCCTTATTATCCGTGTGTATCAGGGATGCCACGGGTTACCCGAAACCCCGATCCGTAACATCCTTATAAGTCCAGAACCACGAACCTTAATCCCAGAAAAAGTTCGAAGACCCGACCCGAATTTTTTCTCACACCGTAACATCCCTGGTATAAATATGTATATCTGTGGTAGGTTGAGAATAAAGGTCTGCTCACTTAAAGCTATGGTACACACTCACAATAACGCACAAGATATCTTAAGACAAGAGCTTCTTCATAAATCTAGGGAAAATCTAAAGGGTCATGGAAAGCTCAAATTTTCCAATTTTAACTTACTTTATAATTTGTCTTTCAAATTCTGCTTTATTTTCTGTCAACCAAAAAAGTAAGGCACCAAAAATCATATAAATACTAATAAATGGTATTGGAACTAAATGATTTAAATGCCATTTTTTATAAAATAATTTGGCTGATTTTATCAAATATTTTTTATGTCGTTTATACGTGCTTAATTTAAATATATTATTTTTCTTATTTATCTTCTTTATTTTTGTTGTTGTTAAAGGTTGTAGAAGAGAATTTGTTGGCATAATTTTTAATATCCTAAGTAAGCTAAAGCAATAATTGAAATCTCTAATTAAAATCTATCAGAAATAATCACGATCTTGGGCGTATATCTATCAGTTGAATGCATATCTTGCGGATGGGTTGACAGTGGAAGTGGATCTGGGGATGGGTTTTATAATTTTTCCATCTCGAGGGGATTGAGTCGGGCGACAAAAATAGTCTAAGGGATCGGCTCAGGGATTGAGTTGAGTGACAAAATATTTATGAAATCAAGTCTTAATCGAATCGAACAGAGAAAATATCCTAAAGGAACAGGCTGTGGATAATCCTTAAAAAGATCGTTCTTGAACAGGGTCACAACTACTTTATCCTATTGTTAAAAATTATCTTAACCTTAACTCTATAAAGTCCTAATCTTTGATCACACTTGCAGATAAAATAAAAATTTGGTTCTACTTGACTTTATGAGTCCAATCGAACTTTATGAGTCCAATCGATGTTTATGAGTCCAATCGAACATTATGAGTCCAATCAAAATTTATGAGTCCAAACAAAACTTTATGAGTCCATAGGAATTTTATGAGTTCAATCACATTTTATTAGATTTTATTAAATAATACATTTATTAAATAATACATTAAAAATGAATAGGATTATGTTGCTAAACCTATGGAGCATAGGCGAGGCGCTTGTGCAAAACTCCGCGCTTCGCGCGGAGTTTTGCGGCACGCGCCTCGCGGGAGTCAACGGTCGCTGGGTTCTGGGTCGGCAACATAAACCTATCCCTTTCTTCAGCACCAGCTTTGATCTGACGACCTACCCTCGTAGCTCACAAAAATCCGATTGGATTCATAAGCTGTGATTGGAATCATAAACCGTAGTAGAGCCACAATTTTTACTTAGAATAATAAGACATGTCTGATTTATAAAATTTGTTTGGACTCATGAATTTTGATTGGACTCATAAAGTTTTATTTGGACTCATAAAGTTCGATTGGACTCATAAACTTCGATTGGACTCATAAAGTTCGATTGGACTCATAAACTTCGATTGGACTCATAAAGTTCGATTGGACTCATAAAGTTCGATTGGACTCATAAACTTCGATTGGACTCATAAAGTTCGATTGGACTCATAAAGTCAAGTAGAACCAAAAATTTTTCCAAAAATTATTAGCAGTAAAATAATTCCTTTGATTCTGCCAAATTCTCGATCACAGTCTTTTTTTCGCTACCCATCGATATTTTTTGAATAGAACATAGTAGTTAGTAGTTGCACATCTGGCTATCTATTAAATCATGAATTGAAAAGTAAAAGAAGAAAAAGTTTTCCAAGTTAATCCAAAATAAATCTAAAAACTTTGCTACCCCCTCCCCCTTCCCAATTTTCTTTTGTGACGTTAGTTTTCTCAATTCACAACTCTTTTATTTTAAATGTTTGTTTTTATGTTTATATTAAGAAGCAAAAATTTTTCAAAAGAAAATTTTTTATTGCGCATGCCGACAATTTAAGCACTAAAATAAACAGAGAAACTATTTAAATTTAAAATTGTTGTCTGATCAGAATTCTAATATATGTTATACATTCTATTTTGATAAGTTTTGATATCTTTAACGTGTTAAGATGAGTGATAGTTATTGTTAGTAAAATTTACTTTTAGATAGAATCCTTTGGAATTTGTTTAATTTGCGCTCTAAGATCTAATAGAGCTTTCAAGGGGTTGTTTCAGCACTATTTTGAGAGTAGTAAATGAGAGAAAACTGTATTGGTGAGATAATGAAATGCATCGAGAAACTGTTTTAAAAAAGCAGTTTATTTTGAAAAATAATAAGAAGCCAAAAATTTTATAAATAATCATGAATAGTAGATATTAAACGGATATTTGCTCAAAAGATTAATCAAATGCAGAGATTTTAGTGAGGGTTACTTTGAACTTTATTACTTTAATGAACATATTTTTTTTCTAACAATAGTTATGTATCTGTGATGTGACTAAAGTGATTTTAAACCCCGAAAATAAAGGTGAAACACCAAAAATGATGAAATCGGCGAAAGGTGAGATGTGAGTGCTTAAATTGTCTCAAGCTCAGAATACTAAAATTCATAAAATTTCAGCTTAATAGCTATCTTATCTTTTTTCTGACATTTTATTTTTAATTTCCAATAATTTGCTTTGTTCTATTAACGGCCAACTTTATTACCGATCAACTTTATTTAAAGTAACCTTTTAATAGTGCATATCATCTGTTTTTAAATTCGACACAAACAAGATTTAAACTCGTAATACATCCCCATGGCAACTATTTCTTTATTTATCCTCATCTAATTTTCACACAATTCAAACAATTTATTTTTAACAATAATTATTCTTTTAAGAAAATTTTAATTATATTTTTTATTAAAAGTACACATAGTGTAAATGCTCCTGCTCCAGAAAATTCCTACCAATATTTTCCAACTTTCAAAAGATTTGTTAGATCCTACAGGTCTTTATGGACCATCGCTGATCGAAATCGTCGGTTTTCGTGAATTTTCGATGATTTTCGTTTTCTTGGAGATTTCCTCATTTTTTCTTTAGTTCCGTGTTTCGTAAAACAATATTTTCGCTCATTTTCAAGAAAAACTAAAATAGCGAAACATTTATCCATCTAAACAAACATTTGACTTTTCTTCTTCGCGTGCAGTAAATTTTTAATGCCAGCCGTTTGCTCTACCCTTCCCCCCCCCCCCCCTCTCTCTCTTGCACACACACCTCTCTACTATTTATTAAAAATTTCACAAACTACAAAATTATTATACACAGTTATGTACATTCTCGAAACTATATTTTTCATTTTTATTGATTCATTTCCTTTCATAATTTTAAATTTTGACAGTAAATTTTATTACTAAAAATTAATTTTTCTCCCATAATTTTTAAAATAATTTTAAATATTTCTTAAATTTATTAACGACAAAAATTAAATTTTTAAAAGCAAGAATATTTTTCTAGCTAATAAATTAGCCCTAAAAACCCCCAATAATGTCCTATATAATATCCCCAGCATTCAAAGGGCTTTCATGCCAGGTATGTGGGCAACAATCGCATGGAAGGCGCTTTGATGTGCTTTGTTGCCTTCCTTGTGCCGCTTTTTTCAGGTAAAATAAATATTTTTTAAAAATATTGTCCGGAATATTAGAGAGAGATCTCATCTTATTATTCTTATCCTTAGAACTCTCATCCTTACAACGGTTATCACATCCCTTCCAAACACACGGTTTTAAAACACGAAATTTTGATATTTTTGCCAAATTTAACCGTTTCTATGACATTTTTATAACCGAAAATGTTCTAAAATAAGTAATTCTTATAAAAGTCCCCCGAGATAAAACCAATATTAAGTTATGCCTTGAATTAACAGAAAACCTGGTGCCAGTCAAAAACCAAAACCGAAAATATGGGGTCGAAAACCGACACAATAGATAACCTGGGGTACCAGTTATTAATCGGTAGTGTCAGCCCTATTCCCTTTCCCATTATACATTTTCAAATCTATGCAGTTTAATATGATTTCCCAATTTAGACGGTATAATGGCCTCAAAACCAAACGTAGATGTCAGAGAGAGAATAAATGTGAAAAACTGGGAATTGGTTTGAAATTCTGATTAAAATTCTTGCCAAAAAGTTTATTTTTATTTAGAATTTTTAAAGAAATGTAAAATTTGTCGGTACCGTAAATGTATTAGTATAGGCATGAAAATGACTAAAGACGAGAAGATTTTGGAAGAAAAAAAGGAAGAAAGTTTTTTACAAAATTTTATTGAGGCTTATGAAGAATATGTTGCCTTTCAACAAAAATTATTTTTTAATATTTACCCAGAAAAAGTATATCAACAAGCTTTGGTTAGCTAAAAAAAATAATTTGTCAGCCTTATATGATCGAATAATTACCCTCACTCTAGAAATGAAACAATAATTACCCCCTCCCAAATACCCTAGAACACGTTCAAATTTCAAAACAAATAATTGCCCTTATGAAAAATTGGGTTGGACTGCTGTTTTTCGATCCAGAGTCCCTTATCTACAATCTGGTGCCTAATCCTAATTTAGACGGTATAATGGCTAGGCCACTAACACGCCACACCATCTTAACAATTTTGTTGTTTAGCTTGAGCCGGTGTCCCTTCCTTGCTTTTTTTTACTTTATCCTTTGCTACTTAGTTAGCGCCACCCCTCCCAATTAATTATCCCCACTAGTGAGAGGATGAAACGATTATTCGGGGTAATTATTCGGACATATATAAAGTATAATAAAAAATTTAATTTTAAGTTTTTTATTCCTGAGACTTTAGAAATGCTAAATTGTTTTGAAATGAATTGCAGACCGGCACTGCTTACAATGCTGAATACTTCAATAAAAGAATTTAAAAATTTAGAAACTCAAGAGAAGGTAGTGAATTTATTAGAGGCGTCCAAGACTCTTGGCCTATAGACTTGACTCAGGACTTTCCTTGGGGTCTTGGTCTTCATGTTCTTAGGGAGAGTCTTGGGTCTTGCGGTCCAATTTTGATTTTGGTCTTGCGGATTGGAAAACTTTCGTTCTTGAGCATTACTATTTAATTTTTTTTATTATTATACAGCTCGAATTGTTCGACTCCTGCTTTAACCAATTAAATTTCCTAAATTGTCTCAATTTAACAATTACCAATTTTCACTCGGAAAATTATCTTGTTGATAAATTTATGCTAGCCTATGGCCATTTGTTTGATTTTGGGTTTGCTGATAAAATAATTAATTATTGGGTGAAGGATATGCTAAATAAAGAGGATTATTTTAAGTAGGATTAAGCGTGTATTTTTTATTAATTAAAAATCTTAAAGTGCAATTCTGACTGAAATTAAAGAAAAATATTTTCTTATCAAACTTTTTATTGAAATCTCAAAAATACAAAAGGAGGATTGTTGTGCTCTTATGGCTATTACTTTATTTAATAAAGGTAATCTTTTAACTCCCCCCCCCTCCCAAAGTCTAAAAATTCCTGCTATGATAAAGTTAAATAATAGGTAGTTGAGGATTCTGATTCAGCGTTCAAGGTTGAAATACAACCTAGAAAAGCGCAACCTATGAGAATATCCTATACTTTGTACATCCTAGCGTGAAGTCCGACTGCATTATTAATTAGAGATCGGACCGAACGAAATATCTTACAAAAATTTCTATTATCTTGTAATACTTCTCGAGATATCTATTTTTAGTCTGGTAATACGCTCCTAGACCTACAAGTATTGAGCATATAAATTATTCCTTAATCTCATCATCTTCCAAAAATCATTAGATACCTATACCTATTTAGCTTCTTTAATGAATCTCTCAAATGAGCAAATTTGGGAGAAGTTGACTGAAACAATTTTAAATGAATGGCTCCAGAGGTTATGTAAAAGGTTTAATTCTAAAAAAGCTGCTTCTGTTCATATTGCTTCATTAATTTCATTGCTGGTTAATTTGGATGTAATTTTTAAATTTTTTATTAAACCTACAAATAATTTTCAATTTTCAACAGAATCATTGTAAAGAAATCAAAAAATATTCAAACATAATATTCTCGGATTCCATTGTTCCTATGAGCATCGTAAAGGAGGAGTGCAAGGTCCCAAAATTTTTATTTTCTTAATAAAAATTTCAAAATCATAATATTTTAGTTAACCTTTATACTTCCAAATCTGCTTCGTATTTTGAATGCTCATAATCGAATTTGTGGGGCGTTTTATGACGTGCCAGACAATTATTTTAGAAAGTTTGCTGATTTCAATGATGCAATAATATCTCCAAACAATATTCTTGGCTATCATGAAAATTTTAACGTATTATTTAATATTTTATTTTACACTCGGATCTCACTATTGGTTAGATTGGATAGAATTTTCATCCCCTTCAGTGCCCCTAGGAATTAATTCCCATTGTACAATTCCAAATCTAGCTAATTCAAAGGGCTCATTCTTTTTGGGTCAACCCACTAGGCTTTGATAATAAATGATAAAATTTGATCGTCTATTGGATAACCTATTCAGAGGTCGGGCCGAAATCGGAACTCGAAAATCAGAAGTCCGTCCACCTTCTTTAGGCTTACCACCTTCTCAAGGCATAATCTTACTTTCTGTTTAAGCAGACCCTCAATACATTTTTCACCGCCGTGAGTGTATCAATTAGCGATGTACCTGTCGAACCCTAATTCAAAACCTTCGCTACCAGATATAATATTTATTTCATTTAGCCACATCCTCCTGTCATGAAGGAGCAGGATAGGCAAACATTTTTCACTGAACTAGATCAAAGTAAGGATGCAATATGCCACCCATATGTTTTAAAATACGTTGTTGTCACTCGATTGCTAGTTGTTGGTATCTACAATGCTTTGCCGTTTTTCAGACAATTATCAAGAAATGATCAAGTTTGGAGTTCTATATATAATTTATTTAAATAAATTATTTTTAGAGTTTATTACTAAATCACCATATAAGAATTGTTAATTCTTATATCAGTTCTTTCATTTCCGCAAAAATGAAGTCAAACGTGTTAATTGGTACAGATGGTGTTAGTGCTTTAGATATTGTCGAGGCACAAACAAAATATCGAGAAAATAAAATGTAATTTGCATTTAATAACGTTCAGAACGCTCAAGAGGCCTTAGGTTAGGATATGTTAGTTGTAGCTTGGTTGGCCACTGGGCATAAGACCTCAGAAGACCTGTATCTCAGAGATCTGGACCTCAGACGACCTGTAAGACCTCAGAAGACCTGAATCTGATGAGATCTCAGAAGATCTGTATCCCCTTTCGATGGGATGATTCCGCTTCGCCCTCTGTTCTCCCTCCTTCCATTTTTCGCTTAAAAAAATGGCAGGCCCATCACTTATACCCACTAATATCTAAGATTATTATTTCATAGTAATCTTCGACTAAATAAAAAATAAATTTGAATAATTTCAAAAAGTTTTTTTAGTTTAATGAATTTGGCACAAAGAGCATTTACTAAACTTATTGACCCCTTCTTCCAAATAATTCCAGCTATTGCTGAAGATGAATTCGCTTTAACTTTAACAATCCTTTGTGCAACTGGAGGTATATCCCATTAATAGGAACCTAAATTTTACTTTAACTAACAGTATCTGATCTCTCTTCACATGCTCGTGTACTGCTCCAAAATGAATGCGAATTTTATGCCAAAAAGCTTTTAAATCTTTGTCAAGTCCGGTTTGGCGATGTGAAGGGTGCTTGCCGTTATGCTGAATTTATGCATTTAATTGAAACTGCATTCACGTTTGACAGAAATTTCGAATTGTACGTTACTTATGTATCAACTTTTTACATTCAAAAAAGCATTGATATCTACATTCCCGAATATTTGTTAAAATTATTATTCTAATTTTGAAGCAATCAAGCAAAAATCCACTTTGATTACTTGAAAGGAAACTTTGTGATTTTTCGCCAATAATCAAAACATTTCAGTTGAACCCTACGTATTCTCCACTTTCTTTTATAACCTCTCTAGCGAAAGTTCAGAAAAATAATTTACCCTCACTCGAATGCCCTACCACACGTTTAAATTTCCAAAACTCGAATACTAGTTGTATTTTCACGATAAATTAACCCTATAGCGAGAGGTTGAAACAATAATTACACAGGGTAATTATTCAAGAACTGCATTATTTAACTTTCAATTTTTGATTTTTTTTATTTTCAATCATATTTGAATTCGGAGCTCTTTAAATTATAGTGAATATATCAGGGATGCGCCTTCCCGGATCTAAAAACGGAAGAACAAGAGCAGAATACCATCCAATGTATGTATAGAGAAAGCCCATTCCTGGTATATTTATTTATATCGAATCCGAGGTAGCTGGATTATATACAAAGAATAAGGTATCTCTCATAATATTCTTTTGACTATTAAAAATTTTAAAATCTGCCATTACTTAAAATTTCAATTCAAATAAGAATTTAATTTTAAATTCTTATTCAAATTTTTATTTGTTTAAACAATCAATATTTTTCGTACTCGTCACCAGCTGTGAATTATCTATTTTAATTTACCTTTAAAAAATTTAGAGGAAATTCTTTATTGAATTTTTATTAATTTTTTTTATTAAATTTTAACATTCAAAAATTTGATAAAATTTTTATAAAAAAATTTTATAAAAATTTATTCCCATGACAACGTCTTAAATTTTGTATATACATACTACCTACCCACTTTTTAGAATATTTCTTAAAAAGCATAACTATGTATGATCAGTACATAAATTTAATTTATTAAAATTCTTACTATTTTGTGCCCAAAATATCCTCACGAATGTGTGTATTTATTCATACTACTATAATTTTTTATATCCACATTTTATTAACAAACACAGTATTTTTTATTTACATACCTTTATTTTTTTAATATCCCTTCGTGTGTATATCCTTTCATTTAAAATTAAATATCCCACCTTTAAATTCTCTCATTCTTCAATTACTAATACCGTATCTTCACGATTAATTCCCCTTAACTACCCCCTCGAATAATTCCCCGCTTTTGATTAATTCCAGGGATGATTGAGATAATAATTTCAAACCTCCAAATTCCCTACTGCACGTTCACATTTCAAAAAAAATTTCAAAAATATTTAAAACTTCCCGAACCCATAAATAGGTTGAGACATTAATTTTCCAGGGAATTAATCAAGAAAATACGTTGAATTTTTTTATTTTTGCAATTTATTCGATTTTTATTTGATAAAAAATTAAATTTTTGAATAAATCATGATTTTTAAATATAATTTTTATTTAAAAATATTTATATTTTTTAATCTAATTTTAATTTTAAAATTTATTTAAAATAGTTCCCATAAACATGCCCTCCTATATAGTCTCTTCAGCCTTTGAAGGACTTTCCTGCCAAGTGTGTGGTCTACAAGCTCATGGAAGGCGTTTTGAAGCAGTTTGTTGCCTTCCCTGTGCTGCTTTTTTCAGGTAAACTATTTTCTGGAAAAACTTCAAAATGTCTGGAATTTTTAGACGCTATGTCCTTTTGAATTGTAATCATAAATGTCTAAATGAAAATAAATGTGAAAACTATGGGACTGGTATTTTTAAATTGTAGTAGCCTCTAAAATTTGTACTTAAATTCAGAACAAATAAAGAAATGTAAAGCTTGTCGTTTCCGGAAATGTTGTAATATTGGAATGAAATTGTCCAAGGAAGGAAAAAATACTGAAAATAAGGAAGAAGTTTTCTTACAAAAATTTATTGAGACTTATGAGGAATATATTACATCTCAACAGAAATTATTTTTTAATATTTATCCGGAAAGATTAAATCAAGCCTCACCGGTTAGCTAAAATAATTCTTAAGTAAAGTATTCGATCTCTTTACAGAAATAGCAATACTATAATATATTGGGTAGAACGATTACTCCGTATGTTAGATATTTTAAGCATTTTTCTTGCCAGATTTATATCTTGTTTTAGAGGGAAACTTTCTCCAAACATACATAGTCCTTAAGCACTAAACATCCTTCCACCGACTGATGTTTTTCACATCCCCTTTTACTGCCTAGGCTGGATTGTCGGCATTAGTGTTGGCAGATTCTAGGAAATCTGGTGTGTATATAGATATCAGTACTCTATTTTTGGATCCAAATGTTCGGATTTTCCAAAAAATTCAGCCTTTTATCCAAAAATTTAATTATAAATTAAAATCATTTACAGTATTTTATTCCCGAAAACTTACAAAAATTACGTTATTTTGAAATGAGTTGTAAACCAGCGATGCTTACAATGTTTAACAATTCATTTAAAGAATTTGAAGATTTGGGGATGCAAATTAAGGTACCGAAGATACTATCAGAATTAGTAATATATCAAAATTTCTAGCTCGAATTATTCGACTCCTGCTTTAACCAATTAAATTTTCTAAATTGTCTCAGTCTAACAATTACCAACTTTCAATCAGAAAATTATTTTGCCGATAATTTTATGTTGGCATATGGATATATTTTTGATTTTAGAATTTCTGAACGAATAATTAATTATTGGGTGAAGGATATGAAAAATAAAGAGGATTATTTTAAGTAGGTTTCAGATCCTTTTAATTAAAGCTAAATTAATTTTTCAGTACAAAAATGACTGAAATGAGAGAAAAGTATTCTTTATTTCGAAATTTTTTGGAATTTTCAAAATATAAAATTAAAAAATTGGATTGTTGTGCCCTTATGGCCATTTATTTGTTTAATAAAGGTCGATAATTTTAAATCTTTTTTAATCTCAGTTTTCGAATATTTAGCTTCCTCAATTAATTATTCCACAAATAGTGAAACGTGGGAGAATTTGAAGGAAACAATTTTAACTGGATGGCTCCAAAAGCTTTCCAAGACGTTAAATTCTAAAAAAGATGCTTCTGTTTATATTGCTTCATTAATTTCTTTGCTGGTTAATTTGGATGTAATATTTTGAATTTTAATTTATTTTTAAAATAATTTTTCGGTGTGGCAAATACGACGCGCAAATTGTTTTTATTATAGTATACATAATTTGCTTCAGCATCATCTAAAATTGATGAATCTTTTATTCGATTAACAACACTTTGATAGATTTGATGGTACCAGGACTAGTTTATAATTTTATTCAGAGATCCATATCTCGGTCCATTGAAGTTGAAGCATATTATGCTAAGAATAAATCGCACGTCTAATTTGCCACATCTATTTTTTAGAATCATTGTGAAACCTTCAAAAAACAATTTTGTACATATTCCAATGCTGTTGTTCCAGTCAACTATTCGGAGCAGACTTCCAATGTTAATATTATTTTGATAATATTTTCAATAATCTATTAAGATTTTTCTCCTAATTAAAATAAATTTTAATTTTCAGTCATCTTATATTATACCTCCAAATTTGCTTCGTATTTTGACTGCTCATAATCGAATTTGGGGTGCATTTTATGAAATGCCTGAAAGTTATTTTGCCAGATTCACGAGTTTTAATGATCTAATATTCTCTTCTGACAACGTTCTTGGTTATCATGAAAGTTTTAACGTAATATTTTTAAATAATTTATATAGTAAAAGGAAGTCTAGTCCCGAATAGGCATTCATCCAGGGATCTCCTGGGAGTTAATGCTAGGCGCTTCGGTCCCCAAGCTCTACCGACTGAATTTAATTGATCCTAAACCCCCGCCAAGTCTCCCTTACAATATTTTAAAATTGCCCTCCTACAAATTTAAATCCCTATTACAATTTTAAAAAATTATTTAGCCAAATCCTCCTGTTATGAGTGAACCAGAAAGACAAAGATTTTTCAAAGAGATTGATGAAATTCAAGATGTTCAACGGCACCCACATATTAAAAAATCTATTATCGTTTGTAGGCTACTAGTTATTGGAATTTTTAAGGCTTTACCTTTTTTTCATCGTTTAGCACGTAATGACCAGGTTGAAGATTTAAACTGAATGATTAAATGGAGTTTTAATAATTTTTTAAGATAATTCATTTAAATCATCGAGTAAAAACAGTTAATATATTTTTAAAAACATACAATGCTGCAAAATTGAATACGGCAACCTTAATTGGGCCAGATGGCATTACATCAATGGATGTTTATAGAGCTCAAAGCAGATATCGAGAAAATAAACAGTTAAGAAATTTTATACAGATGGATCTCTTTTTTAGATGCCCCCTAAATTAGATAGTTCTTAAATTTAGCTAGATACTCTTTGAACTCTTTCAGCTGATTCCGAATTAAACAATATTTATTTTATAGTTTGATTAATTTGGCTGAGAAAGCATTCAGCCGAGCAGTTGAACCTTATTTCCGAATGGCACCTTTAATTGATGATGAAGAATTTTCCTTAATGTTATCAATCCTTTGTTCGACTGGAGGTATTAAATTTGCTTAAAAATTATTTAGCCATTGTTTAGGAATTCAACTTATGAGCTACTGATATGTAAATAGGACATGAAATACCCCCTCCGAAGCAGGGGACGGGTCTCGTATACAAAACGGCACACGGACACTCCAAAATTTTGGTTGCCCCCTGCCTAAGCAGGGGGACCTATTAATCCCTTCATAATTATTCTTTTTAACTTTTTGAATTTTGTAAAATATTTATACATCATACAAGTAGATAAGTAAGCTTGTTATATCCCATTCCCTTCTCCACTAAGAATCTTAATTTTATTTCAGCCTCAGCAGAACTCATTTCTTCACATGCCCGTGTACTGCTCCAAAATGAATGCGAATTTTATTCCAAAAAACTTTTAAATTTTTGTCAAGTTCGTTTTGGAGATGTTAATGGGGCTTGTCGTTATGCTGAGTGTTTGCATTTAATTGAAAATGCATTCGTTTTTGATCAGAATTATCAATTGCTAACTACATATCTTGAAGTATTTTATAACCACAGAAAATTTGAATCGGATCACCAATTCCCAAAATATTTATTAAAATTAGCTTGATTTTTTAGAATTATCATTTTATCATTTTAATTAATTTTTTATTCTACATGATTTAATTGTGAAAACTAGAATTCAGCGGTATATTATGAATCACATTTCTTAATAAAAATGTCGAGCCTGTTGCAAAGCTTGTAGTTGAATCTGGTACGGAAGATGTTGAAAAAGTTGAATATGTACTTGTTAATAATGTTGATGCTTCCGTTGATTCTGTTGTTGTTGATGTTCCATATGAATTAGTTGATTGGGTTAAGTAGGGATAATAACTTTTTGTAGAGGATAAACAAGGGCAGAACGTAGTTGATGCAGTTAAACCTGTACTTGCTGTACTTGATGAAGTTAAACCTTCACTTGTTGTTGCTGTTGTTGTAGATGAAGTTGTTGTTGATGTTATTGTAGAATCGTTTATGGGGATTGTTATGCTGCCTATTTTCAGTATTAAACCATCGTCGGCAATTACTCTGTAGGTTGTAAGAAGCAGTACTATTAATAACATTTTAATTTTTATTTTAATTATTCGAATTTTTAAAAATGAATTAAAGCAAAAATGAATGTTTGACAAAAAATATTTACCTTTTCAATGTACTTTTAATCCACGAATAATAAATCTACTAAAATAATACCTCGTTGTAAATAGCTTGTTAATATTGGGTATGTAATTATTATTTTAATTATCCCCTTTGGTAATAAGTCTACTTGTTATTGTTGCCAGCTTTACTGCTTACTCATTAAAACAATATCCACATGATTTCCTTTATTTTTAGATTGTAACTTTAAATATTTAATTGTTTTATTTAATAAGATTAATAATCCCTGTTATGTATTATCAATTTCAAAAAATTTCAAAAATTTTTCTCAGGATTTTTAGTTTTCCTATCGATTATAAAATTAACCAGAAAAACCACCAATGGAATTTGGGACGAATTTTTCACCGGCGGGTATTCATTCATCCGCTCAATCATCACTGCCTATGGCGATTCAATGAAGCGTTGCGCGAGCACACAACACCCACACACACAAATTCAATAACCTTCCCTTTTCCCATTCCAAATCCCCTCTCTCATCTCTCTCAAAAATTTCAGTCGCCGCAAACACTTTCGCCTTCCTTCGCTGAACTGATGGATTAAATGAACGTCGGCAAGAGATGAAAATGGCGGGGACGTCCTTGAGTTATTCTAAATCTTCAGCTCAAAAAGAAAAATCCTTCCCTTTTTTGACTAAATTCAAAATTTGGATCAATAAACATTAAAAAAAGATGGTTTTTTCTACAAAAAAATTCATAAAATAATTTGTAGTTCAATAATACCCAAGTCTATTTAACTTTTAATCTTCTAGATGACAAACAAAAATATTTACTATATTATTCCATTCTTCCTTATCTCACTTGTTAACCTCACTAATTGTTGTCCTGATCAAGTTAAACAATTTTGTTCTTGTGTTGATCAATTTGATGGTGTTTTGCTTAATTGTACAGCTCCATCTTTTGGGAATCAAACTACTTCAGGAGAAACTTGGGCAAAAAATTTAATGCAGGCGTGTGTTTTACTTAAATTTTAGAACTTCTAATTAACTAAAATTTCCTTTTTAAAGACCCTCAAGTCCAACCAAGCTCATCTTGGATTATTAAAATTATTAGCTATTCATGGAAGCAACGATGGAACTAGAGAATCATCTTTAATCCCCATACTCTCCGACAATTTATTCCAAGGCCTTTATATTAAAAGACTTGAACTTGTTGGTTGTGGGATTAGTGTTGTGCAGAAAGGGGCATTTAGAGGGCTTGAATCTGTTCTTCAGGAAATAGTAATTACTGGAAATAGAGTAAATTAATTCATTAAATTTAATCAACTGTCAAAAATACTTGACAGATTCAAGAAATATCATTTAATGCTTTTCATCAAATGAATGCCTTAATAAAACTTGATCTCTCTGATAATTACATTGAAGAATTAAAAACAGAATTGCCGAGAATTTCAAAAGTAAACTTTATTATTTAATAGAGTCGTCCTCCTTCGAAGATACACCTTTGGGGCTGGAAATATTTATCTTATAAGTGTGTATCCTAAATAGAGAGGATCACCCTATCTTAAATAGGGAGACCTTGAAATCCACTACCTAAAGGAACTTGAGAATAGGTATGCGCTATCTTCTGCTGCCAATAAAATTCGGCATTTAATATCTCCTTTAAAACTGCAAGAAAATTATTTCAAATTGAGTTTATCTACTAGTACTTCGTGTATTGACACTAACAATATCGCCTATAAATAATGGCATTCTTTTGAATTTTCAATAAATAATACCTTAATAATTAAGCTTAACGACATTAATCTATCACACAATAAAATTACTGCTATCCACAAAAGTTTCTTTGACAATGTTAAACATTCGCTTCAAACAATAAATTTGGGTCATAATCTTCTTGAAGAAGTACCTGCAAGTTGTAAGTACCGATTAATATTCCTCTTTTGAATAAACAATTTTTAAAGCTCTTCGAGGTTTTCGAATGTTGATGGCCTTACATTTACACAATAATAATTTAAAAAATTTGCCACAACTTTCATTTATGAATTTACCAGTCCTTTCCCTATTAAATCTGGCAGCAAATCAAATTCGTTCAATTCATCGTCAGGCTTTTCTAAATGTTCCACAACTTCGATTTCTTTATTTATCAGCAAATCAGTTGTCTGAAGTAACTAACACAGCCATAAAAATTAAAAAAATTAAACATTTTAAGGTCCAGCCCTTTCAATTTAGTTCCTTTGAGCGATTAGAAATGCTTGATCTTAGCAATAATAAAATTGAAGATCTTCCAAATGATACTTTTGCTGGCCTTCCAATACTAAAACAGCTTTATTTGGGCGAGAACTTAATTGATCATCTGCAGCCTGAGGCCTTCTCTTCAAATTCAAGCATTGTTTCTCGGCCATTTAATATTTATTTAATAAATTTTTATTTAAGGCAGTACTGATTTTGGAACAAAATAGAATATCAGAACTTCAAAAAGATGTATTTCGCAACCTTCGCCAACTTCAACAACTTTCATTAAAAGCAAACAAAATTAGATCCATTGACGCATATACATTTCGAGGGAACCCTTCTCTTGCAATGCTTGATCTAAGTCATAATGAAATCATTGATTTGGCTCCTGGAACATTTTTAAATCAGTTAAATTTGCTCTTGGTTGATTTGAGCAACAACAAAATCCTTCGCACTCCTTATGGAGCTTTTGGACGTAGAGTGGCAACTGTACTTCTTAAAGGTGGATTCTGATAGTCTCTCACATTGTGATTTTTAACTGAATCTTTTCATAGAAAATCCTTTGGTTTGTGTCGAAAAGATTCATATGCTTCAACAAGGCAATGGTCTTTTTATTCCAAATAGTAATGATGCTATTTGTGGGGAACATAAAGACCATGATGTTTCTAACACTACTACGGTTAGGGTTTCTAAGTTAGGGAGAACCAAATAAAATCTAAATTAATTTAGATCCCAAGTAGCGAGTTTGAAGCCAAAAATAGTGGTTTAATTGCTGATCAAGAATCTTCAATTACACCAAACCTAAGTGAGGAGACTGAGGATGAAGTAGAAGATGATAATGAACCTTTAACCTCTCCCTCCTCTTTTGTCCAACAATTGGAAGAAAATCAACAAATTTCTAAAAACAAACAACAGAATATAAGTATAATTACTCCAGGAAGAATCAAACCTATTCGGATTATTCCAAATGCTCAACATGTGACAGCTATTCAATCGAATGTTGGAAAGAATTTTTGAAATAGAAAAATTTTAAAAATTTAATTAAAGAAAGCATTAACGTCCCCTAACAAAGAAAACAAGCCAATTGCTCTAACTGAAAGTATTATTGAAGATACTGAGTATACTACAAGCATTGAACCTTCGTCAATTTCAAGCAGTTCTTCTAGACAAGGTCGGGTATAAATTAATTAAACTGACTAAAAGAGCTATTCAGATTTGACAGAGAACACAAAAGTTCAAACAACCACAGCTGAGGTTGGCATAAACCCTCGGGTTATCTATTCACATCCTGTTCCGTTCCTAAAGCCTGCTCCAAAAATGCACACAGCTACTCAGTAAGGGCTATTCAAAATATTTTACTCGTTTATTTAATTAAAGCGTTGAAAAAGATCAAAATGGAAATCCGATATTATTACCAACTTTGCCACCAAGCATAGTTGTTGCCGAAAATTCTTGGCATTTGAATCAACATATGCCTTTAGAAGAAGATAAAAATGGGCAAAAACTTGACAGAGAAGGTAGCGAATTTTTTATGAAAAAAATATGGCTCACTTTAGGGCATAAGCGCTCTCATATGACACATAAAAGCATATACATATAGCCCTAAAGTAGAGCCAAAATAATTATATACTAAGGTGATAATAAAATTACTACCACATCCTACACCGATCATTCAACCCAAAATTACTCAACAGTAGAAAATAACGAAAAAATTGAAGAATTTCCATTGCTTTTATCAAAAACTCCAGTAATATCAGAAGAAAATTCGTTACAACGCGTTGAAGCTGAACTTCCAGAGAAAAGGAGTAATAATAGAAGAATGTTTCCAACAATAATTATTGTTATTTGTATTGGTGCTGTTGCTGTTGTAATGTGTTCTGTTTTTGTTGGATTATGTGTTGCTAGAAGGTCGGTTATTATTAGACTAGCAATAAATGCCAGAAAGTCGTAGGATCGATGCCTTCTCAGAGCTAAACCTTTACTTCTCTCATACTTAATTTTAGGCTATAAATTATTGCCTCTTTTTATTTTTACCCTCCCTTTATTAAGGCGTAAACTTCGTCAACTTCATTCCGATACAGGCATAAGTTTGGGTACAGCTGGCCTTGTTGGAATGCAATCCTCATCTTTATCATCTCATTCACCCATTTCAAATTCATTTATGAATACTGCTAGCACTACTAGAGCGGCACAAATGGGAGGGTTTTGCTATATTTCTGGTCCGAATCAGCAAAGACAGTATGAGACTTTAAAAAGGTGAGGCTTATCGTTCCAATTTTATTAATAATCTCTGATTTAAGAGAAGGAATACAGCAAAATTTTGGCGGAACATTGAATAGATTGTCTACTACACAAGAGGATATTTATGGATGGCTTTATACTCCTTGTGGATATAATGCTTATCGGAAATAAAAAATTTTAACATGACCAGAAAAATTATTTATTAAGATTTTTAAAATTAATGGAAATTCAAGAAATTCCGGTCATATGTAAAAACAGGTGCAATAAATATATAAATTTTTCCAAAATTCATTCCATATGTTTATTTAAAATTTTTAATAAATTTCAAAAAAATTTTTGAGTCTTTTTGAATTAAAAATTCATATTGATAATGCACAAGTTATATGCTCCAAAAATAAAGTAACTCTGTCCAATTCCCATGGAACTTTTATGTAAATGAAAATAATTTTTGCAATACAAAAGCAAAAGTCTTAGAAAGTTCTCCCTTCTGTGAATACATACAAAATTTTGATATAATGATGTTAAAAATATTTAAGTAAATTTTTAGATTTTATATGTTAATTAAGACTGGGTAAATAGTTTTAAGTTTAAATGCCCCCTCCGAAGCAGGGGACGGGTCTCGTGTACAAAACGGCACACGGAAATTTATGCCCCCTGCACGAAGGCAGGGGACGGTCCAAAATTTGTGCCCCCTGCACGAAGGCAGGGGGACTTGAGTTGCCCCCTGCACGAAGGCAGGGGGACTTGGGTTGCCCCCTGCACGAAGGCAGGGGGACTTGAGTTGCCCCCTGCACGAAGGCAGGGGGACTTGGGTTGCCCCCTGCACGAAGGCAGGGGGACTTGGGTTGCCCCCTGCACGAAGGCAGGGGGACTTGAGTTGCCCCCTGCACGAAGGCAGGGGGACTTGAGTTGCCCCCTGCACGAAGGCAGGGGGACTTAAGTTGCCCCCTGCACGAAGGCAGGGGGACTTGAGTTGCCCCCTGCACGAAGGCAGGGGGACTTAAGTTGCCCCCTGCACGAAGGCAGGGGGACTTGAGTTGCCCCCTGCACGAAGGCAGGGGGACTTGGGTTGCCCCCTGCACGAAGGCAGGGGGACTTGAGTTGCCCCCTGCACGAAGGCAGGGGGACTTGAGTTGCCCCCTGCACGAAGGCAGGGGGACTTGAGTTGCCCCCTGCACGAAGGCAGGTGGACTTGAGTTGCCCCCTGCACGAAGGCAGGGGGACTTGAGTTGCCCCCTGCACGAAGGCAGGGGGACTTGATTGCCTCCAGCCGAAGCAAGAGGACTTTTGGAGCGCTCGAAGTATTAAAAATAATTATTAGTATAAGCTTTGAAAATAAAAAATTTTCAACGGTAAATAGCAAAGGGTTATAGAACATTAATTAATATTTATTCATTTAATAATTTCTATGTCTTTCCTTATTTCACTTTTCTTTCTTTTTTTCACTGTTCTCTTTATCTTTCTTTTATTCTATTTCTTTATTTTGTGAAGAAAAAAATAAACGATATATCTAAAGTCTTGTGTTTATCAAAATGGTCAGAAGTGAAAAATATTTAAAATTGTCGAAGGGCAGATTTTTTATGTTTTATCACCTATTAATCTTTTAATAATTATTTTTCCAGAAATTTTATAAATTTTGTAAGATTAGGTACTTACTATTTACCCAATTAATGTTCAAATATTATTCGCAAAACATTTTTGCTTGAGAGCAAAACAAAAATTAAACGCTTGATCTAAACGTAAATAGACAAGAATTTGAGAAAATCAAACAAACAACAGCGTTAAAAAGAAAAAAAGTTTTTAAGACGGATTTGGATTTTGGAAGAAATCAAATGAGGCGTTAAATGTGCGCAATTTGTCGTAGTTGACCGTGAACAGGAAGGCGACATTGAAAAAATAAATTTTTGTTTTGAATATTTATTTGAAGAATTTTTGATCAAACAAACATCCTATATCCTCTATTTTACTTGAAAAAATTCTTAAAAATTTCCAAATTTTATTGACATCAATTTACGTTTATTTTTTGTCCTCCTCCTCAACGCTCTACTTCATTTGTGGTTTCCTCCTTCCGTCCGAATGACTATTTTTCTCAATGAATGGCTGAGCACTACTAGAAGACTTTTTAGGGGATTGGCCATTATTCTCTCCCTTTTTTGGAGGAGTGCCTCCGTCAAAATTCAATTTCCTTTTTTTGGCCATTTTCTAAATTCGAAAATAGAGAATTGCCAAAAAAAGTGCAAGAGAACTACTGAAAAATAGCAAAACAACTAATAAAAACGGCTTTATTTGCTTTAAGTTTTTACGACAATTTAATGCATTTTCTTTACTTTTTTATGTTTTTTTTAATTTTTAAATAGTACCTAAATAGTTGTTTAATAGTTTCACATCGGCCCCGAACACTTCTTCCTCCCCCGAAACCTCACTCCCCCCCCCCCCCCATTTTCTACAATTCTGGGACCACTCAGAACCCTCATCCAAAAGGCAACTCAGTCCCCTAACCCCGCCAAAACAACCCCAACAACCCTCCCCAGCAGACCCAATCCCCGACACTCCCGAACCTGTACTGTCAATGATGCCACCTTAATTTTAATTATTGACAGACATTTTATTTATTAAAATATTTCTAATGACGTGAAGCAAGGTCATGATCGTTGTTTCTGTTTTCCCACATCATAATTTTTCATGAATATTTCCGTGGAATTTTTAATATATTTTTTGCCCAGTCTATTTTCTTTTATCCTCCTTATTTAACCAAATAATTATTTAAATTTACATATTATTCCAATTATTTTCCTCCTTTATTAAATTTTAATTATTTATCTGGCCACTTTATTACAGAACAATTCTTTTAAAAAATATTAAGCTCATTTATTACAAATTCCCAATATTCTTTAAATTATAAGGCTTTTAATCCTTTCCCACATTTTTTATTATTACTTACATCTTCGACTCTTTTCAAAAAAATTCCCATAATTCCCCACCCCTTTTCTTCAATTCTGGGACCATTTACTCCCTTTCCCGCTCATTGTTAAATCCAATGACCCAGCTAAATATAAATCCGCAAAAATCTCATCCTCAACTTGAGTCATTCTTTTCTCCTTTGTATAGCTGTTGATGGATATTTGTAAGATACTCACCTATTTATTTGGGCCTTATTCTATTTTATTATACATTCTTGAATAATTGTTCCATAAAAAACTCTTGAAATTTTTAAAGATGGTTTATAATTTATTTTAATAATTTTGGAAATATTTAAATTAAGGCTTTGATAATTAATATTATTTTTACGATAATCGAGAGTGGACGGTAGACTTAAAATAAATTAGAGTTGGCCGGTATCATGCTAGCAACCGTTATCTGTCGGTATTATTCTTCTTTGTTTGATTACTGATACTGATTTTGCTGATACCGATACCGAAAGATAAATCCCGATAACCATTTTGCCCAATATTTTTTGCTATTTAGGGTCAGTGTTTTGCCTATGAATTTGTGTAAATTATTTAAATTTTTTAAAATTTCAATAAAATATTTTAAAGAAAATTTAACTAAATCTCTTATTCTTTTTATAATTCACAAAAGGATTTTCTTATACCTTTATAAATTGCCCGACAATTTTTAATAGTATTATTTAATATTCAAGTGCACTTTAATAAAAGATATTTTCTATAATACCTTGCTATGGATATTTTTTGTATTTTTAGCAAAATTATTTTAGTTTATATCGGGGGTCTAGCCGACATAAAAAAATAAATTCCGTCAATTTCAGTTGTCGGGAATACCTCGGAAAAAGGTTTTTCTGAAATCGACTGATCCGACTTCGGGAATCGGTTTGGCTAGACCCCTGGTTTATATGATCCTTTAATATACACCAAGCTCTTATCCATACTTACCAGGATTTTAAATTCAATGTTAAAATTTAATAAATACTTTCTATTCCCCCTTAATATCCTTCCCATTTTTCCTTCCTGCAATTTATTAAAATTGCTTCACATTAGCATTTTTCCACCCTTCTACACTAAAACTCATTGAATTTTTTCTTCATTTATGTTAAGGCTTTTACTCATTCCTCCTTTAGACACTTTATTTAGTTGAGGGAAAGTAGACCTAAACACAACAAATTAAGTGTTTGAGGAGGTCATTCTTTCCCCTCTTTAGGTACTCTTTCCACCATTAATTTGCCAATTTGCACTTTTCATCCCCCAGCCCCTGAAAAAATTTTTAGACAGCTTGACATTTGCTGGACTTTGCCTAAGATTTCATTTTTTCTCCCAAAAATAAAGAACAAAGTTTTGACAAAATCTGGCATTTTTTATCTTGAGAGGTGCGCAACAGGGATGGGACGGGTTGAGATAAAGTAATGTCTGGTTTCGGGTATCGAGTTTCGGTCCCGTCCCATCCCTGGTGCGCAATTAGGCACTTTCCTCCAAATTTTTAAATTTTTACTAATTTTTGCTTTTTTTTGTTTATTCACACATGTTTCTCTTTGTTTATCTGCATTTATTCCCCAAAATTTTACTAGAGTTTAAGCCAAGAAGATGTTTAAAATCTCTCATTTTATGATCCTTTTTCTTTTATGACTCCGACTTTTTTCTTTATTTTCATTTTAAATGTTTAAAATTTGCGTTCATCTGTCAGTAAACATTGAAATATTAGTGAGGATTAAAGGTCACGAATTAAATATTAATTTTGAGTTAGAGACACCTTACCCTGACAGTCTATTGAGTTAGGCTACATATCTGTTGAACTAAGCTGTTCGGCTCCTCGATCGCCTGTCTCCTGTCTACGATAAAAATTCTGTCACGAACCTGATCCAGTTAATTTCGGCATAAGAATTCCCATGAGAATTGAGACAAGCTGTCTGTTCGTTGTCTTGGAATAATTTAATTGTTCGACTCACTGATAAAATTTCTGTTCAGACCTCAATCCCCAACAGTCTATCCCTATATCTCGTTCACCGAAAAAGTTCTCCCCGACGGGCCGAGTACTAACCCTTATTATACATTACATCTATTTAGAATTTCTAATTACATAAATTACATTTCCAAAACAATTAATACAACCATTTCTATTGTTTGCCAAAGATTTTATTTAAGCGTTCCAAATATTACACTTAAATGCTCAAAATTTGCTCATCCTCCTTTTTTTATTCCCTTGCCCTCAATCCCCTCCCT